TGGCAGGGCCCGAGTGTACCGCAGACGAGGTGAACGTTACGCTCAAGTATGCGTCAGAGAAGTTGACCGATTTGGTGGCGGCAGCGTCATGGTTTGGGGTTCTTTTTGTGCACATGGACGTTCTCCTCTTCTTGTTGTCCAAGGGAACTTAAATGCTGTCCAGTACAGGGATCAGATTTTGCAACCTGTTATTCCGTTTATGCAGAGACATGGGCCTGGACTAACGTTTCAACAAGACAATGCTCGACCCCATACAGCAATTGCTACCCAGAATTTTTTAAGAAATTCCGGTGTCCAGGTCCTGGATTGGCCGTCGCTTAGCCCCGACCTTAATCCTATTGAACACATCTGGGACGAACTGGGTCGACGTGTTCTTCAGCAAGTGAATCTACCACTGACGTTGCAGGACCTTCAACATGCTCTTGCTGAGCAGTGGCGACGTCTTCCTCGGGTAGTGTTTACTAATGTTCTGGGATCCATGAGAAGACGTTGTGTGGCATTACGAGACGCTAGAGGATGCCACCGCCCACAACCGTTACTAAATACTTTATTCCGATTGTTCTCCAAGTCTGTGAATTTCATTTTGGGGGGTACTGTGACATCACGAACGTTATCAATGTCAAGGACTTTCGGCGAGACGTATTCTTGCTTTCTGTTGATCTCAAGGTCGTCTGTGCACAACATAACACTAAAATAGTTGCCTTAAACCAAATATTAAAAATCTAGTCCCAAAAATCCCGAGTGTCAAGTTTTTAATTTGGCTGAGTATACATAAAACCATGTACTTCCTATTGGTCTATGATAAAACACATTGTTGTCAAATTGAAACTGACTTAATAGCTCTTTGGTTGACTCTTACCTGGAGACATTTCTCGACATACGCCATTGTCTGATATAAAGATCCCGAAAACATTTATAAATCAAAGATTCTTGTTCGGAGAATAAATAATTTTTGATAATTTTTTTTAAATATATACAACGCATTTATTTTGATTTTTACACAAATAAAATATATCTATGTGCATAAACAATTGAAATGCAAATGGAATTAACAATAAAAAAAACAAGACATAAATGCTATTACAATAAACAATTAAATATAATTTAAAAAATATTATGGGCAAAGCTAAAAAAAATCCAGTTGATTGTCTGACCTATATTCATCTAAATTTAACCAACCAACATTTATTTAGGCTACAAATACATATACCACCACACCAAAAGAAATCCCAAAACAGAATGTAGCCTAATATTTGAAGAATTCACTTGGGGTGAGAGCAGTGATCAAGGAGATTGGTCATTCATAAACCTTCTTACGATTTCCACATCTCTAGGAAGTACCATTGACATGGTAACCTCCTTGGGTTTACTGGCAGCTGCAAGAACTACTCCAGTTGACTTGAAAGAAGGTGTTCTTAATTCGTTCTCGGTTGGTTCACTTTTAATTGCTTTGGTTGCTATTTCGGGTGAAGAATCTACAATGACTACATCATCAAAGTTTAACATAAAATCATTAATCTTCTTGAAGTCACCTGACTGCTCACTTTCTCTTGTAGATACTTCATACTCAGCAATTTTCTCGCCGAACTCTTCGTCTAGGACTTGAGGAAGAGTTTTCATGCACAGATTATTTTGTATCTCATTATGTTCATCGTCTGTAGAAGATAATAAATGCTTTGAGGTCAGTTTCTTTTGAGTAACTGATACCTTACTGTGCTGTGAATATCGTTCTTCAAGTTTGGTGCTTGATCGAACATGCAACAGTGTGTCTGTCGAATCATGTTCGTATTCCTCTGAAGAGAAGTCTAGATGTTTAGTAACCACTTCATTGAATAGTTTGTCCACCGGTATACTTTTTACAGACGCGCAGATAGAACCTATTTTTTCTTCAATAATGAAGATATCGTTGTCCAAAGATTGTTCCTTAAATGGGGGTTCTTGTGGTCGTATTGATGGTCCAATGTCTACCGATTTTTTGCTTATGTCGAAATTGGGAGAATTGGTAGTTTCGCATGAACTAGGGTTATGTCTCTGTATTGACGTTGGTTTGATCAATGTCGATCTATTGAAAACCGACTCTTCAACTCCAGTTGCTACAAATGTTTGCTTTGTAGGCGTCAATTCCAAATGTTTTTTAGTCTGTGGTATTTCAATATAACTTGAACCATTCCTTGGTGATTTGCTGGAAAACTTTGGTAAAACCATTCTTACTTTTGATCTCTGGGGGTCGAAACTTTTTGAATTATTCTTGATTATTGGATGGTTGAATATCCCCTGAGGAACATTTGATTGTTGCCTTATCTTACAGTTATTAATGTTAATAGCAGCGGATTTTTCCGATTTGCTACGAATATTTACAACTTGTGGTATACTTGCACTCTGTGTCACAACCGGTATTTTCTCTCCAGAAAAAATGGACACCGGTGATATATTTGTGGCCGGTGACACATTTGGCATATCAACTCTCTGAAAGGGTGTGGCTGGTGATAAAATTTTCATATTATTAACTGGAATACTTTGTATATCACTTGAAGACGTTAGATATTTTGAATTATTAGCCATGTGCGAAGTTACGGTAATTGATTTTGCGTTAGTAATAGCTGTGGATGTAAAAGTTGGTGGATTCACTGGAATTAACTGAACTGGAACAGGTGAAAATTTTATGGTTGATGAAGGTACATTGTTGGGCAGAAAAATCGAGCCTGTGTTAATTGGTACTGGCCCCTTAGTCATACTAAAACGTGAATTGGGTGGTTGAACAGGCAATCTTATAACAGTACTGGCACGGACAATATTAAAAGGTACTGTTGGCGCATTTAATGAGATTCCTGGTGGTCTAACTAAAATTGAATTGCCGGTGTTTGGATTAACATTATATGGATGGATAGTGGCCAGATTACATTGACCTTGTGACACATTAATGTTTTGCATAAGCTGTGGAACTTGCGAAATAGTCTGCATTGTACCAAGTTGTGGAACTTGAGAAATTGTCTGCATATTTTGTTTAGTAAATGAAGAAGTTGGAGATGGAGCTATAGACAGAGTCACTGGTGATGTTAATGTTTCACCACTTGGACATGTATTTATTAGATTTGCTTTAGTGATACATAAAGGTGTTGATGAAAAACATAGACTTTGCTGGTTTTGTGTATAGGTTGTGTTACCATGTGATGGCTTATCATAGGAGGGTGTAGAGACACATTGTGTGGAAATTATATTACTTGTATTTGTATTTGGTAAAGCAGTAATCATTGTGACAGTTGGTCGGCTAATATCAGTAGATACAATGGTAGTACATGTATCTAGCTTAGTCATATTTTGATTTGCAGATATACCAAATGATTTGCATAATATAGATGGAGCACACTTATTATTTTTAGATGAAATAGGAATACCGGTATGAACATTTGTAGTAGAAGCTACAGAGCTTGTTATAATACATATCTTGGGTTTGATTGGCCTTGGTGTTTTGAGATTTGCTTTGGTCTCTTTACACTGATTAGCATTAGTGTCAAAATATTTCTTCTTTTTTGGTGATGGCTGATATTGTAGATCCTTTGATGTTTTATCATCCATTTCGATAGAAATATCATTAGAAAAATGTTCAGGATTTATTTTGGATGAAACTTGACAACTTTCATCTGTTTGATTTTTTAATTCCTCAAATGCACTGTCATTTACAATTGTATTGTTACTCTGATGAATACTGTGCAGATTTCCATCATCAGGTGATATTTCATTATTCAAGAATTCTTCATCAACATTTGTCTTGCTTACATCAAGATCTAAATGAAGGTTACTTAAATGGCCCATGTTATCATTAGATATTTCATAATCGAACAGCTCTTTCTTGGCAACAACATCAACTGGAATTGCATTTTTCTCGATTTGTTTGTGAGGTGGATTTGGTTGTGATTTCTTGTTGCATGTCGTTGATGTCCATTTAGTATTTGTCATAAATTCGTTGTGAACTTCTTGAAGAACATCAATTCCCAATTGTGAGAGTGCTTTCTGTAAAGACTTATTTTCGGATTCATTTTTACTGCACCAACCATACAAAAACAGAACAACTAGGCGCAACTCAGTCCCAGACACACCAGCAAATGTTAATTTATTGTCCTTATGGTGTCCTGATCGCCAAAAACGAAAACTATTCCACACGGCACTCAATAAAAGACTGTGTACTCTGTATGATGTATTATTATCTAAGGAAGAAAGTTCGAAGTCACAACTTTCATCACCACGTGTCCGCAAATTATAGAGTTCACGTATCATGCAGGCACCTATCTTATCTCTCAAATCTATACAACTACTAACCTCCATCGCTACAGTCCTACAGGCAGTTATGCTGATATGAGCATTTGAAAGTGGGGAAAAGTTTTGATGAAATCCTCCTGAACCGTCTGAATTGTAGTGTACGTGTAATATTCTCGTTCGACCAATAACCGCTGCCGACGGACCTCGGGAGACGTTCGTCAATACTTTGCCACACACCCAATTACGATTGTTGTGATTAAATATCTACATATTTCTTAATTTTATTTATATTTTTCAATTTCAAGTAAATTCCCTTCTTTTTTTTTGGGGGGGGGGGAGGGGAGTTTTCGTACCGCATTTGTAATATTATGACATCGTTCACGTTCTAAAAAAAGTATTGCGCATTAAAACCTCCCAATCACGTGATCGCTTGTTCTCGATTATCCAAAATTTCATTTGCTTTTATAATCATACATAGAATTAGAATAGTGTTTTAAATTTTGAAGTAAATTCATTGTTCTTCTTCTATATGCTAATCCGTAAGTTGTGCATCATATTTTGTTTCTATTTGTGTGCCACAATGACACCATATCATATAAAATGTTCTTGAGAAATAAAGGCCATGTACTGGTTAATCGAGGGTTGTTTTGCCCTTTATGTCTCTTTTGATTGGTTGCCGTGTGTTAATCCAATGAAAAGTCATATTTCATGAACGTGATCTAGCTATCTGGTTTGGTCCGGTTGAATCTTGCCTCATTCTGGTTGAGATTTTGAGACGACAGCATATTTTACCTGTACTAATGGTGAACAGAGATTTTCTCAAGATTGGGTCGAAAGGCAGTAAAAGCCAGCATCGCAAGGCCCTAAATCATCTTCCAAAGATGAAAGGCAAATACAATGAAGGCGAAAATAACGAAGAAACCTTCATATCGGGCGTGGTTGAAGGTTAGTTGCCCGTCCAACACTTCCCGATGTAACAAAGATGGCGTAGTCGTAAAGCAAAATGGACGGCATAATTATCATAATAACCTACTTTCGGCACAGTCAGTACAACTCGCTTGTTGTGCGTGGAGGGCTAGGTTATTGCAATAGCCATGCTATATATATGATGACTTGCGTGATCGTCAAAGCGCGAACAGATTCTGTAATTATTCATTGTGTTTTATCAAATTTATTCTACAAATTGAAATAGGCTACAAATTAGTTCTAATTCAATATAATAACAATAATATGAATAAAAAGTTCAACTCCAAATTCGGAAATTGTTTCTAGTTAGTAAGATCTAGTTTAGATTCTATAATAGTAATACATATATGTTATAATTTTGTCCATGCTGTTATTCAGGATTCTATGGTCGACCCTGGACAACAGAACAGAGAAGATTACTTTTTAGTTGGTAAGTAATTTTTTATTCATTAGGCCTAGCCATGTCATCTGTTGTTATTCAGATGACTAAAAACCCATGTTGAAATTAAAATGCAAATTTTTGCATCATGAATTTCCCTTAAATTTGGAACTCATTTTTCCAGTGAGCTTACTAATGAAACCGATTAGGACCATTGAAAATATTTTGAAATTTAATAGTATTAAATTCCTAGTAAAATTGTGGGATTCTGACTTCGACACTGACAGGTAAACTTGATTTGATTTTCAAGATATTATTTTGAACTTCGTAAGCTTATTGTTTTTTCCAGGATGAAAAATATGGGACTAAATACTTATATGTATGCTCCCAAGGATGATTCTAAACACAGGTCATTTTGGAGAGATATGTACTCCGTTGAAGAAGCAGGTAATAATGATCAGTTTTATATCTAGAATACTGATACTCATCATTAGGTTATGTAATGTAGGGCAAAACTAAATGTCCAGGTAACATTCTTTGATAAATATTGTCTAAAACTATGTACTCTACTCAGTTCTGAAATATCAAGACAATTTGGCTTGATCCACGACAACTTGCACTCCATACTTTGTGGTACTTTACAGTGTTTAAAATTTACGTCGGCCCAGCGCCGATAAATAACTTGACGGGCCGACATCTTTTTATTCTGAAGATGGTGGGTCGGCCTTGTGAGCCGACTGTTTTTGCCGGGAAAAATATGTGTCATGGATATTTTGTTCATGGTTCTATCAAATTCTCCTTTGAAAATATTTATATTGTCCCTATCCGTAATATATTTCATCCAGATATTTAACTGTATTTCATTATCGGAAATGAAAATAAAATTTTCCACCGAAAGAAATCGTGAGTGAGGTTGTGCTTGCAAATATCAGCACGCTCCCAGAGTTAGGCAGAATATTATTTAACCATTTTGATCAAGTATGGAATAGATGAATGTGTGTTCCGATAGTAAGCCTTACTTACTGTCTTATTTGTCTTTATCCGATATTGAATACACATGCATAATCCGGCATATTATAATTCCTTCAATTGTGAAATCCAAATGTGTGCTACTAAACTAGGTCAGTCCATCTACTGTACTGTCATGAATCCAATAATAAAAATTTACATGATATAAATTCTTTGTCTTGTAAAAATGAAATTGAAAAAGCAGAGCTGAAAATTCCCTGAAAGCCTAACTACTGGTAACAATACAATTCCAGTGATGTAAAAACGAGTGGCCTTTCTCGCCATTCTTTCTAAATCTCGTGATTTACTAGCAGGCTTGATTATCAAGTCTATTTCTTTAATGACGATTTCACTACCGTAATGGAGACCCAAGTCTTCGAAAACAGGCACGTACAATATGTCATATAGAAAGAATAACAAAGAGTTTATGGTTTCATAAATATGGACTATCCCAACGTGTGACATCAGGTCAGTTTAATAATGATAAAAAATGATGTGTCGTCTGTCAAACAGCAGTGATAGTTTACTTTCATTTTGAAAGAGGTCACAGTCTTTCATTTCACAGTTCCACACGTCATGATGAATGAAAAATAAAATGATTGTTGCTACCGGACAGTAAATTTAACATGTTTATTGAAATGTAAGACATTAATCTATGTCTGGAAGGACAATATTTTCTGTTAATTTTCGGAGAGTGTAAGGGCCATTTTAATCCGTAATCTTCAGATTTCTATGTGAATGGAATTTCGAGATATTATATTGTCAGTACTAATAGACCTATATATAATCATTAAGATTATTACAACTACAAGTAAATATTTATTTATTACAGAAAAAAATAAATATCAAGTCTGGATAAAATAGGGGTGGAATGATTTTTATCTTTCTATATACAAAGTATTAACATTAAATCCTTCAAAAGTTAAAATTGTAATGTGTACAGCCAATCAATATTGAATACATATTTTAACTTTTAAACCTGTCCCAAATGGCTAGAACTTAGAAATAAAGGCATTTGGGGTGGGGTAGTGTACGTGTGTTTTGTTTATATTTATTGGGCCCACAACTTAATGTTAGGACCTACAACTTTCGTGAATGGCGTCTACCAGCGAGTTCTATTGGCCTACAACTTTTCTTGACGAATTTTATACACTGGTACTTTATTCCATTTTTATGCCAACAAATTATTTTGATGTTAAATGAGTGTCTTATTTATTTTAGAAAATCTGACTAATCTCATAGAAGCAGCTACAGAAAATGATATAACGTTTGTATATGCCATATCTCCAGGATTAGATATGACATTTTCAGGGACCAAAGATGTCACTTGTTTAAAAAGAAAACTTGAACAGGTATAGTAATAAAATAAAGACTTAGTTAAATGGATAGCCTACTTAAAATTATGGGTCTAGTATCTTTGAAGGTTTATAAGCGTGTCACTTCTGTCTGACAGAATACAAGGTTGGTTCTTTGTCTACATGTACCTTGAATAGTGGAGGGGGAGATGTTGCTTAAGACACCTGATCATAAACTAATTATTCAATTAAACATCATTTCACAGTTTCGGCTATGTTGAGGTTGTCTTTGAACTTGTTTGTTGAAGCCTTATGTTCTATATTTATTTTTCAGGTTTCAACATTTGGGTGTCCAGCCTTTGCTTTACTCTTTGATGATATTGATCCAGAAATCAGTGAAGCAGACAAAAGTGTCTTTCAGTCATATGCATGTGCTCAAGTTTCAGTTACAAACGAAGTTTATGAATATTTAAATCAACCTAAGTTCCTCTTTTGTCCAACAGGTAAGTTTGAGAATAGAGGCTGCAATAAGATTACTAGAACTCTGTAGAAGTGCTGACATGTTTCGGTACGCCAGTTCCAAAACATGTAATTAGTCCAACCCCTTTGAATTTTCTTTGTTGGTGTTAGGGAACACGTATTGCCATGTGGCCAAAGTTGAAAATGTTACTACTACTTCATGGGTAGTGAAGTAATAAATTATGTGGAATTAGCCGACATGTCATATAATTAATCTTACATCATTTTCGAATCAAACTTATAGGAACTAGTCTTTGTGACAGGATGACCAAGGGAGAACAAATTATAAATAACATATTGGTGCTATTTATTTTTCGTTTTGGTGTTCAGTAGTATTTAATAGTGAGATTAGCAAATGAGGATTGTGTAATGATTGTTAGTTACATGAATTTAAATTCAATAATCCATACTTTTTTTATTTCAAGAATATTGTGCTGGTAGGGCTGTACCTAATGCAATAATCCATATTTTTTTTATTTCTAGAATATTGTGCTAGTAGGGCTGTACCTAATGTAAAATCCTCAGAATACCTGAATACTATTGGTGCAAAATTATTACCAGGAATTGATGTTATGTGGACAGGTTTGTTATTCTTACATAGGTATTACTAGTCTTTGCTGATTAAGACACTAAGAGTTTCATTTTCTAATTAAGACCAGGGTTGATGTTGGTTTTAAATTTTGTTAATACATGTATAAAATGAATTGAGAATAATAACCCCAGTATACTATTTCTTCAATCCAGCTCCACCATGGACCTGTGCAATATGCATTCTTGACCAAACCGAAAATGTCTACAAAGACAGTATGTAGTTGAATTATGAAAAGATTGGCAGTGTTTTGACATACCCTATGACCTTTACAAGGGCTGAGAACCTGACTAATGCTTTTAGTTGTAGCCAATGTGAATGTGATGCTTTTAGTTTGCTTAAACCAATCGTCTTAATTAGATATTTTCCTTATTTTCAGGATCTAAAGTAGTTAGTAAGAGGATTACAATTCAGTCATTAGAAGAAATAGGGTCTGTATTAAGACGTCCTCCACTTATATGGGACAATATTCATGCCAATGATTATGATCCACGTAGAATTTTCTTGGGGCCATACGATGGTAGATCACCTGAAATAATCCCGTATCTTAGAGGGGTTATGACCAATCCTAACTGTGAATTTGAATCTAATTATGTTGCCTGTCATACTCTGGCTCAGTGGTGTTTGTCAAATGTTGATGGTGTAAAGAAAGACATCATTCCTGGTAAGTCTACTTCTATTATATTAAGTGGGGGGTTGGATGGCTGAATGGTTAGTATGTGCGGGCTGCATCGTAAGGTCTGCATTGAGTCAACTGACATGGTTTCGGTTCCCTGGTTGTACGTAACAAGGAGTAGGGTCGTCTGTCCAACCTCATGGTAGGGTGACCCACCATAAATAAATATCTCCAAATATCTCTACAATTACGCCACAATATTTATTTATATGCCAAGCCTCAGAACAGTTTCACACAATTATAGTCACTAAATAAATGATCATGTTGTACTTAATAAGCTATGACCATTAATCATCTATAAATAATAGACTGAAAACTGGTTCCAAGTGTCGTCCATAACATCCAGACACTTTTGAGTAAAAGATAGGTTACATGCCCTTGTTTTGAAATTAGTCTCGCTTAACCAGTCGATCGACCATTCTACGTCTCATTGACAAGTCGGGATAATCAAGACTACTTTTTTACGAAACATAACAGAAAGCTAGAACAAGAAATTGAATTTAGAAATAAGCACTTTAGCCAACTCAACAATTGTTTTAAGAAACTTGTAAAAGTAAAATGAAACTACTGCTAGTATCATGTTCCTGCTAACGAAAGTGATTCAGAGATATTATTTGTACTAAACCAAAAGATGCCGCTCTTAACGGTACAGTTAATGATAAAGCAATTTAAAAAATAAAACAAACATAATTTCTAAAGCTGTTGTAATAACCAAGAAGCTAAATTTTACTGCTATTCAAAATCGTCAACAATAGACGGCTGTAATTGTTGATATTATTGTAGAGAATTGCACTTGCCATGGTTATTTATCGACTCAAAGAGAGTGCGGGGTAGTCAGAAATCAGTTTGAGACACGCAACTGAAGCGTGCACATTTAGTCGTGTCGAGACCAACTTTCTGTAGAGTGCACTATTCACCCTACTCATGGGTATTTTCCAGGTCCTCCGGTTTCCTCCCACTGCTAAAGACACCTACGCGCAAGCGAATTATTGAAATGAAATTAAACCATATGTTAGTCCCGAAATGACCTATAGTTTGTGTCAATTGGACATTAAACCCCATTATTAAGTTATAACTGTGGTTTCACCAATGTTATATATGCACATTGTGTATTCTTATCTTGGAATGTTATTGAAATTAATAGCATTAATTATACAAAATCAGAAGTTACTTTAAGTGCTTTTTTTTTACTGCCAAAGATCATAACATTTTTAACATTTAAAGCAATTCAAGATTTAATTTGTTTTTGTTTACAGAAGACCGGCTCAGTCCTATTGCCGCAGACATTAAACTAGAGACAGAAAGTGATTTTGGATCTGATGAGGACATTCCCTGTCGATTAGATGCCAGATACCAACCACATAGAGCCTTGAAAACGGCAATCAATGATTGGTTAATGGAATTTTCTTCTACACGAACACCCCCTAAAAAACCTGTTGTAGCTGCTTCTATACCCTTATCTGTCAATACTTGTGTTGCCAGTACACCTACATCATGTTCATTTCCCGAAACTAGTGAAAACGGTTTACCTGTTACAGCTCTATCAATGCCTGATAGTGGTAATATGATGATAGATAATCAATCTTATTTACAGCCTGCCACAATGAATGTTGTCAATAGTTTAATTGATGAAGACTTGTCAGATGTTTCCAATTCAACAGAGTCTTTACCAGATCTAGAACCCATGGATTGTATTCCTCCCTCTAATACATCTTCTGCTAATAATACTGAATTAACCAAAAACTCTTCGGCCGATAGCTTAATGCAGGTTGAGATATCTAGTGAAAAGAAATCTGACACAGTAGAAGGTTTATCATATGATGATGTTAGTTTGTTGGTAGATTTATTTTATATGCCATTTGAGTTTGGATCAACAGCTACAGCTCTACTGCAAGATTTACATTGGTTGAGTAATAATGCTCATACTCTTTGTGAAAACCAGAAAGATGAGGTACTTTATTTTATAGTATATCATTTCACAAAATAATGTTCTGTAAAATAAATTAAAAGCTAACTGCTATTTTGTAAGTTTATAGTTTAAAGCACTTAGTATCTTTGAGGGAAATGAATACCATACATGTATATAGCCATAATATAGCTAGATTTGTAATTATTTTCTTTTGTGTAGAAAAGAGAATGGTTTGTTGTTGCTAAAAAGTTTAAAGATACAGTAGACAGAGTTGAAGTTTTGGCCGACAAAATAAATGATATACCAAACAAATCATTGTCCAAAGAACTATATCCTTATTTATGGGATGTAAGAGGCATTCTACAACTCTGTTCGGCCTACGTAGATTGGATTGGTATGTTATATAGTAAAATGATTAACTGTAGTCTTTTCAAAAGAACGCATTTGTCGACATACCAAATCATATTTATAATTTTAATACATACATGTAATTGATTTCAGTAAAAACATAATTTTAAAAATCAAAATATTTTCCATTTTCTGCATCTTTGAAAATATGTGGTCGACAAGTGCACACTTCCAATTCTCAAGGCATATGTAAAAATTGTATACATATAAATATAGAGTTTTTATGAAGTACTCAACTCTACAATTTGTATGTATGTATATGACTTTATGTATGTGCTGTGATTATCAATGGTGATGGTGTCTTGGTACAATACATGTATGTAGACGTTAAAACATGGAAAAAATGAAAACTTTGTTTCCAGTTACTTGGCAAGCAAATTTGTTTGGTAGATATTATTTTTTTTACTTATATTTGGCTCTACTGTTCTTGCAAAGGAAAAGAACGTAATGGAATAGATTCAACATTGAAACTGAATTATTGGATTGAATTTAGTGTACCAGTGTATATCAGTATGGTAATCTATAGTGCTTGTTGATATTCATATGTTTGATCATTTAATGTTCATATCTTGTGAATTTTACAACTACTGCTCTTTCATTCTGTTTTTGTGTATGCACACAATTTTAGTGGGGAAAAAATGTGGGACCTTTTTTCGTTAAAGAATAAAATTTGTCAAGTAATCTGAAACACATGTATTTCTTTTTGCCACATGTACATGTATTACTACTTTAATCTTAGTTCATTTAGATGATGTACTTCAAGTTCAACTTTTTTTATTATACAGCCAATATTAATCTATCTTTTTTTCTCTTTATTTTTGACAGGCCTTGGACATGTACCCTTTGTTTCATCAAGTCATCTACAAAACAGATATACATGTACGCATCTTTACTATTTCTTCAAGTACCGTATTAAGTGTTTTAATGAAGCTGTGTACACTTTTGAATCTTAACCATACTAATTTATTCACAGGTTCCAGTTAAATATTAAAACCAATTAATAAAAAATTGAGCTGGTTTGGTATGATGTCTTGCACTTAGCCGATATGCTATAGTTAATCTCGGCAAAGTGTAAACATACACACCTGGTTGGTAGTAGTCACTGTAAACATAAAAAATTATCAAATTAAATTTGGTTTAAAAACCCCATTTTATTCCTTTTGTAAAAGTGATAGCATGTAAATTTTGAATGCATGTTCACACCTAGTACTAACCAGGCTGTAAAAAATATCTACTTTCTCAAGTACAAGCTTACAACCATATTATTTCGTTTGCAATCAACTTTCAATTGGTAAATGGCACCGTTGTTATATACTGATTAAAAATGAAAGTTATTCTGCTCTGAAATGATATGAAAACCCACATTTGTGGGAAGACAGATATTTGAACAGCTGGTCCTATATCATACAAAAAATAGTTATTTTGATGATTTCAAAAACCAATACTTTGTTGCTAAATTTAGAAATTTTTCTTCCCGATTTGTTTGGAAGGCCAGCCTTCATTTCTGTCGCAATTAAATAAAAAAAAACTGTACACAGCTTCAATATGGGAGTGGAGCAGAATTAGTTGGCATGAAATTATCAAGTTTAAACCAAGTAAGGTAAGGTAAATTGTGGATAGATAAGCCTATAAGGTGTTCATTCAAGGTAATAAATATATCAGATGATTTTCTTTGTTTTTCTTTTTATGGAAATGACTAGTTTCACTAATTATCTGGTTATTTTTGTTCACAGGGCAAACAAAGAGTTACAGAGATGCATATAGTAGTGGTGACCAGGAACCTTGGGTTTTCCGAGGCGGGTTACAGTCTGAACTACAAGTATGTATTTTAAAAGTGTACAGCAGAATGAAAGACACCAGTTCACACTAATATATAAATTTTTGTTTCTTTTCTTCAGCTGGTGTATTAAGTCTTTATAACCATATCTCAAGGTAGTTTGTTTTCAGATTTTGCTGTGCTGCGCTGCAATGCTCTGCTGTTCGCATAATTTTTATTTCAATTGTTACAAGAAAAGGATACATACATTGCATTCAATTGTCATTTAAGATTCATAACAGCTGTATAATACAAACTGTAGCATAAGGTTAATTTTGATCTATTTTCTATTCACTTTAAGTAGAAAGTTCAGGAAATATGATCATTTTGGCAGAATAATTTTTTACAGGAATTGTTTGTAAATACAAGTAGTTATATCAAACTGTGACTTATGGCTGTTATTAATTGTAATTTTACATTACATTGAATAGAAATGAACAATTTAACTGAATATATGTATCTTTTGCAAATGGCTTAATACTTTTATTTCAGTGCGCTGCGATTTGCTAGTCAGAAATTGTATGGAAATGAAAGTTTTATGTATTTATCGAGTTTGTGCATTGAATTTTTGAGCAGATATAGAAAATGATGTGTTATGTGAAATGCAATGAAAAATCGAAAATATGATTAAAAATTATACAAGATATGAAAACTCTTAAAAACTTTACTCATTTCCATACAATATAATCTGAGCATTAAACTAACCTTGAGATATGGTATAATGGACTTGACATCAGCTAGAAGATAGACAACAAACTTTACATGATTAGCTGTTGATAATACTGGTTTCTGTTCATTTTTTTTATTTTCTCTTGGTCTCAACAAGACTTTTTACAATTCTCAGTATTCTCTAAAACCCAAGACCAAGAGATTATAAAACATAATATGAATGTTGTAATGGTTGTAATTGTTGTGATTTATATCAGTTGAAACTGTGAACATAAAACCTGAAATTCTTACAATTGGTATTTTTGTTTTGTTAAATTTGTTCAATTTTCACAGTTAAATTGATATATTTAATTTATGCTATCAATTAATAATGATTTTTGTTAACAGCGTATGCTACCAATTGATACAGCACATGATCTGTTCATAATGAAACCACCCGAAGTTGTATCAACTGTTAAATATCATTACAGACCTTATTCAAGTTCTGATGAGGTAATTGTCTTATAAATCAAAACATCTTTCCTTTTAATGTTTTCAAAATGGATTTTAGTTTAATGATGTACAATTAAAAATTAATATATTTTGGGAGTGTATTTCCAGACTTGCATCTGCTCATTACTTGGCATTGGTCAATAAAAATAAAATTGAAATAACTAATGTAATTAAATCAGATCAGATCGGATATTGATAAATAACAAAATAAATAACAAAGACAGATTTTGGTTTACTGTGTGCTCAAGCATGTTTGTCAGGAACTTAATTATGGAATCATATTTTGTAGAGATCTGTTTACAATATCTGCCTCAAGACCTGTGATGATGGTATGGATGGAACTGAGGTTTTTCCTGAAAATCTGGATTTGATTGGCGACAGGTGATTGATTACTGCACTGTTATATCACAGAAAGTTGTTTAATGTCCAGATCTAACCTTTAACCACCAGAATGGCATTCAAAACAGTCCCTGGATTTAATTACCTGGAAAATTAGATTGCTTTAGTATGGCTTGCAGAAGCCTGTATTGACCTTTTATGGTTATTTTGAGTGCTAATGGAAATGGACATATATAAATAAAACTTTTGTCAGAATCTGTAAAAAAAAGTCCTTTTTAGTGAGAAGGCTGCATTCTTAAAATAGTTTGCGTTTTAGACATTAGGACCAGATACTCCTTCCATGCAGTCAACTATTCCAAAACCATCAAAAAGCAAGCATGGGAAGGAGTCGGCACACAGAGCTGATGGTGTTGTGCCCTTGGATTGAGGTATTCTGTGGTGTGGGTATTATGATCTCAAGACATTGGGTACTATAGTAAATTGTCTTTGCATTTATTATTACCCAATTCATAATTGTCATTTCAGATATCTTGGGCAATTTATAAATGTAAGTCCAGAATATTGTTTTGTTGTGGAAGATGATGAAGGTGTATGTGGCTATGCTCTAGCAGCACTAGACAGTAAAACATTGTATCAGAAGAGTAATATGGAATGGAAACCAGCAATGTGTGATAAATATCCTAAACCTAACAAAGAAGAAATGACACCAGCTGATGTAAGTTTAACATTACAAATATTTTGATTTTATAAGAAAATATGACCATGTAGAATTTATACGAATTAAAAGATAATTTATAAAGTTTTAGGTTAGAAATTATATCTGTTAATTGGTTTATTTTCAGGAAGTTATTCAGAGTTTTCACAGCGATCCTGCTAGGGTACCTGAAACGATGTACTCAATGGCCCCATCTGTAATCAGATTAGATATTCTACCTAATCGCATCAATGATGTGTCTGTGGCTAAAAGACTTTTAGCTTGTGCTCTTTCTGGACTTAAAACCAATGGTTCTGCTGGTGTGCATTGTGAATTAAATATAGGTGATAAATATATGTTGGATTTTTATGGAAAACTTGGTTTCTTTCCGTTGGCCGGCCCAGAAAGTGCATCTGAAGACGTTGTTTATTTGGGCCGACTATTATGATAGAAAAAGACTTTTCGGAACAGCTTGAAACTTGGTTGTGATGTTAAAGAATTTATTGCTACCAATTCTCTCTCATCTGTGATATTATAAGAAAATCAAGGACACTATTTGTTATTCCATAAATATTCTAAGTGTGATTCTGTAAGACAAAGAGTCACCCTTAATCATGATGATATATTTGCTTGTGTCAATATTGTTTTGTTTTGTAATAGTTATTTATTTTGTGTGTTGAATGAACGATTATGATAATGTGTTGAATTTGTGATGTTTAAATAAAAATGTGATGTAGCTCCATAAGGAGGATAATATTGTTCAATGACTTCCTTTACAATAAATATTAAACCTTTTTTGTACATTTAGGATTAAGCATTGAATCAGAATTTGATGCAAGTTTCAAGGCTATGAAATAAACATTAATGTTTTTGCTGTCAAGTAACATAATAAATATTCTGTTGTAAGAAAAAATGTACCGTTTTGAATAAATGGAATTAAAAATTGAAGTTTTGTGGTTTTTGATTGAGTATCATTGGAATTGTGAACCTATTTTTTTTCATTCAGTATAACCCTTTTACCCAAGCTGACAAGAAGCTTGCATTTGAAGCAAATCGGTTAACAGAATCTCTATGCCATGCCGACACTCAGTTGAACAATCATACCCAATTGAACATTTGAAATTTGATCTCTAAAAAGGTATCCACCAAGTAAACTTGAGATTTTGTGACTATGATGGGTACATGTACCGATGGTGATGATTCACATCTTTAACTGGACTGGAACAGGCTGGACTGTACTCCTCTACTGCTCAGTTAACAAACCATTGCTCCAGTACATCTCTACCCAAATCAGTGTCAGGGGAAGATTGACATTCCTCTTGATTGACATCATAAAAGGGTTCCAGGAGAGAAATTATAATTGCCAAAAACAAAAAATCCAGTTTCAATATATTTATTAACAAAAACACACAGAAATTAAAACAAAATGTAGTGGGTTTAAATAAAATTTCATATTTTTGTGAAGATAACTGACATTAAAAAAAAAACAAACAAATGTATATGTACAATGTACACAAGCCTTGCATAAAATATCAACAATGTAAAGCATGGATTGTTATTTTTTAGCATTAGACTAAAAACGAAAACCAAAGCTTTGTTTAAAGCTCTCTCCAAGATACACAACTGTGAAATGGGGAACTTTATAATAACGTTAATGTATGTACAAAATTATTAAATGGACAAATAAAGCTTAAAAAAAAGTATACCATAATCTTAATGACCTACATTTTGTATGACACTGGACCCATTCTATGGGTAAAGAATGATACTGCCATTTAATAAAAGGTTGTATTAATAATGTCCAGTAAAATTGGATTATCTTTTTCAGACAAACCGGTTATGGCTACAATGAAATGTGACATATAAAATAAAAACATGAGCCTAGAGCTTGGTTAAAAAAAATGTGATAACAAAAATATGTATGCATGTTTCCATAACACCTTGTGTCAACATTGCAGGCCTAAAATTTTATCAAAAAAGAAAATTGGCTATAAAATATATATATGATATGGCTATCCTCTTCAAGCTAGCTATACATAAGATTGTGAGTAAATTATAGGGATTATTATTCGTTTTCCAATATATAAATGAAATGGTGGTTTAACGTCCTACTGTTCTGCTCCAAATGGGCTCATGAAGAGAGAGATATGGGGTTTAACATCCACTTGACACAAACTAGGTCATTTCGGGTTTAATTTTATTTTAAAAATTCGCTTGTGCGTAGGGGTCTTTAGCAGTGGGAGGCCCTGGAGAAAACTCACGAGGTTAGGCTCATGAAGAAGGCCAATATATATATATACAAATACATGAAAGCAGATCACACATCTAGTACAATATAATAATCTAAATAAAAGTGCCATTAAATTGCAGAGTTTAATCAATCTAGGGGGGTTGGATGGCAGAATGGTTAGCACGCGTGCGTTGTATCATGAGGTCTGTCATTGAGTAAACTGGCGTGGTTTCGAATCCCCAGTTGTACGTGACAAGGAGTAGGGTTGCCTGTCCAACCTCGTGGGTTTTCTCCAGTTTCCTCCCATTTCTAAAGACCCCTACGCGCAAGCGAATTATTGAAATAAAATTAAACCATGTTAGTCCTGAAATGACCTAGTCTGTTTCGAGTGGACGTTAAAACCCATCTCTCTCTCTCAATCAATCTAATCCTCGTGGGTTTTCTCCGGTTTCCTCCCACTGCTAAAGACCCCTACGCGCAAGCGAATTATTGAAATAAAATTAAACCATGTTAGTCCTGAAATGACCTAGTCTGTGTCGAGGGGACGTTAAACCCCATCTCTCTCTCTCTCTCTCAATCAATCTAATGAGGTGGTTCTATTGTCTGATGGATATCTTATGGTAGATATTGATAATCGATTTTATATTTTGACACTTTTATGGGGGGAAAAAACAACCTTAAACTATCAGAGATCTTTGTGTAAATAAGGTCTGCTTAATTATAACCTGATGATATATTACAACTATTAAACCAAGTCAGAGAAAGTATTACTATATAAATAGGCCAATATCTGTTAACAATTACCTTTCCAAGGACAGTGAATAAGATTCAGACTAAATAGCAAAAGGCTTGTCACATCTCGTATTGTTCAGAACAACCCTTATTCATCACATGTGTATATTGAGTAGTCTAGTAAAGAATAATTGATGAATTCCTATGTTTTACCAGGCTTATTTTCGAGAAGAACCACGACTTCTCATTGATGCTGAATTCATGTAAATACTCTGTCTTATTGGTTTTTTGGTAATATTAACATAAACATCTTCTTGTTCAGGTTTATCATTACTCAATATTCCTCCAATATCCTTACTAATCTCTTCAAATGTTGGTCTATAATCACTATCCTCTTCCCAATATCTATTCAATATGTCATACCTATAGGAAATATGATTAAATCAAAATCCAAAATTAATAATTATAAATAATTTAGGAATGTATTTTGTATTCAGAACAAATGAATTTAATTACGATACGATTTTTTTTTTTTTTTTTTTTTTTGATTTTAATTCAAACTTCGTGGGGTTGACTAGTTCTAAGGATTTTAATCCTATCAAATGTCAGAATCTTGCAACAATTCTTTGCAGAGTGGCTGCCTTTGTCACCCAAAGCTTTTCACCAGAGTTCGGGGGCCAGGGGGGTGCAATTTTGTTATGAGTGTATTTGGAGGCTTAATTAAAGCCTATCAAAATTCAGAAAATCTTCTGAATGTAATAGAGGCTATCCTTTTTAAAAGGTGTCAGATATGGTGTGACACATACAGGGGTCATGATGAGAGGGCAAATTTGGTGTGAACCATGGACCAATCCTATCAATATGGTATGACACATTAGTTAGATTCTAAACCAATATTATGATCATTTTGATCAGATTTATCTGGACTATAAATGTAGTTACTTACATCTTATTAGATATAATAGCTGGTTGTCCAAGTCTATAACCTTCTTTGATACATTCCTCTATTTGACTGTCTGCAGTATCAACAAAAGGAAAACACCCTCTTGTTAACAACTCCCAGAGCAGAACACCAAATGACCACTTGGCAAAAAGACAAAGAAAAAAATATTATTTAGAATGATTTAGATTACCGCTCAAAAAGATTATTTATTTTTAAAAGTTTTTGTCTTAATTTCTCTCCATCAAGAATTCTAACATTTACTCCCCTTTAGACAAATAGCATAACAAGCATGTAATACCAAGGGTGTGAACCCTCTAGAGGTCACAATTTTTATCCCATTTTGATGACACTTAAAAAATATGTTTATATCCCCAAATCTTGGTTCCATTCAATATTGACATGTCAAACCGTAACATCCTGGATTATGGCCCCTGATTGTACGAAATTAATGTTAGGTTGTTCTCTGTCCATCTCTTGCAAAATACAGTAAGATTGATAGAATTTTTGCTCTTTAAATTAATAATAGCATTATATCATATATGTTTAACTAATGGGTTCATATACATGTATTGTAGAGAAGTCATATCTCAGCAAATGAAAATGAGTCATATGGGTTGACACATAAAAAGATTTATAAAACCAAAACATAGCCTGTTTTATGTGAAAACAGTATATCACCTATTGCATCATTTGGCTTAGTAGCCAATCATATATGATCAATTACGTCATATTTGACCAATTAGATAATTGAAAGCCTTCCGAACCGGTAAATTCTAGAGTGACCGCCGGGGTTCAGGAGACACAGGTGGATGGAGTAGACCCCACTGATTTGTAGGAGAGCCATATGATGTTGGCATCCATCGATCTGCAAATTAGGGGGTGAATTTCAAGTAGGCCTATTGTAGTGTAATGTAATTAACCTATATGCTTGTAACCTATGGGGGATCACGGTGGCTAAGTGGGTAAGGCGCTGGCTCGCTAGCCTGGAGGTCGGGTGTTCGATCCCTGCATTGGCCGAGAAAGTTCATCCAGGTTTTCCGGCGTGATTCCCCCTTGTCAGTGATGTCTAGTCATTCGGATGAGACGAAAAACCGAGGTCCCGTGTACACATTGGCGTGCACGTATAAGATCCCTTGACAGTTGGAATTTGATATAAGAGTAGGCCGTAGTGCCGCTGTCCGGGCAAAATTACCCTCATAGCACACTGTATGGTGTATGCCCGTCTTCATTAGCCCAGTTCGGAGCAAAACAGTAGGACGTTAAACCCCATTTCATTTCATTTCATTTTTGTAACCTATGTATTCAGAGCTTAATACAAAACTGTAGTCTGCAAGAGACTCTTATATTTGTTATTTCGGTTAATCATAGCCTACTATCTCAGATGCCATATATTCAATCACAACGTCAAGCTGTCATTCGACATGGAATGTCAGAATAGGAAGTAAAGAAACAAACTAGATGATCAAATTTAAGGCTGTTCCAAAATATGTAGTAAGAAAAGAATGCATGGGTCATACTAGTTACTATACTTGTAACGTTAAACTGTGTGTTTAACGTTACAATTGATACAGTCTAAGACTTGATCTTACGCAAGTTCAAATACGTTCAAACGCACAATTGTCAACACATATCATTACAGTTTGTATCGAAATAAGTAATTTCTTGTTATGACGTATTACGCAAGCCGCCAGGACACCGGCCAGTTGAAATTTCGCGTAGCAGTTGGGTTTCATCAAATCATATAATTATGCGGTAAGGCTTCACCTTTATTTCAATGGGAATTGATTTATTATATGTTAAGCTATTTTTGGGTTTATTTTTTCTTTTTCATGTTACTGTTTAAACTATTTAATTTATGTATACTTACAACATCAGATTTACTGTCGTAGAATCCATTTGAAAGACTTTCTGGTGCCATCCAACGAACTGGTAGATAGCGATTTTTCAAAGTATCGTGCATATATTCTGTTGGGTAAAAATCATATGAGAAGGATGCATCGGCTATTTTAGCTGTATCTGAATGATCAACCCTGAAAAGAGAAGAAATATCAAGTAGCTATGGAAACATTATTGGTAGTCAACATCTGTTAAGTCATTTGATCTTGTGTAAAGACTTTCCGTAATTAAATTTTTTTCAAGTTAATAAACGATACACAACTCTTAATATCATGTGGGTTTAATCTTCATAAACATAAAGTTTGTAAAAAAAAATACCTCAGACCCTGTACAAGATACAATGATAAAGACAATACCTAAATGAATAAATGACATGCAACTTGAAATTCATCTTTATTACCAGCAGAACACTCTCGGTAAGTTCGGGAAAAAAATCTTGACATTTCCGGCATGTTTATAACAAATATTCAGTTTCAATTATTCAGTGAATAATTCATGCACAACACTGAATTTGGACATTGCTGTACTTTATGACAATATATAGCAGAACAATTCCTTTTCTTTTTAAACTCTGATCTAAACAAGATGAAACGATGGTTATACTATTATTGGTCCTCCCTGTTTTTCGTTTGATTGATACACCTGTTGTTTTGACAATTTGTAGAAAAAATAAATTAAAAAATTATGCATGCAGATGGCGATCATCATACTTACATAACATTCCTCGCTGCCAGATCTCTGTGATATATACTTCTATCTGATAAAAAACACATGCCATCTACTACATGTACTGCATACTCTAATAATTGTTTTATAGAAAACTCCTACAATTATAATTACACAGAGTAAATTAATACAGAACATAATAAGTTAAGAAACCTTCCATTGATTGTGATTGGCGATCTTGTAAGCATTATTGTCTTTGCCCTTGTTGCTACATTCATTTTAAAAGAGCTAAACCTCTTGGAATTCTAAATCAAAATAATATGTTTAAATTGGGTGAATCTCCAAAGTTATTTCGATTGGGGGACAAAATTTATACAAATAAATTTTCATTTCAAAATAAAATGGAAAGTCAGTCTTCCTACTCTCTTTAGTTTCATTTTTATACGCCCACATTTTCATGTTGATTTTATATTGTCGTTGCCCCTGTCTGTCCTTGGGTGAATCTCCAAAGTTATTTCGATTGGGGGACAAAATTTATACAAATAAATTTTCATTTCAAAATAAAATGGAAAGTCAGTCTTCCTACTCTCTTTAGTTTCATTTTTATACGCCCACATTTTCATGTTGATTTTATATTGTCGTTGCCCCTGTCTGTCCTTCCACAATTTGTTTGTGGACACTCTACAGGCCACAATTTTTATCTGATTTTGGCGAAACTTGAAATATAGGTTTATCTCCCAAAGATCACAGTTCCTTTCAATATTGGCATGTATCAGATCGTAACTTCATGGATTATGGCCCCTTATTATACAAACAAGCGGTTGCCATGCAAGATACGCCCACATTTTGCACGAGATGGACAGAGAACGAGCTAAAAAATAATGTGATTTTTTGTACAGAAAGATATGGTCCGATATGCGTAAATATCAAATGGAACCGAGATCTTTGGATTATGAACATACATTTCAAGTTTCATCAAAATCGGATTTACACAATTTGCATACAAAGAGCAGCCATTTTGTTCGGCAGTTATATTTCAATTTTCCCGAAATTTGAATTCAACCTTTGATGTGGTGGATGGAATGGTGATATATTTAAATGATTTTTAAAATTGGCAAGCTTGGTCGAAATAAGGCATCTGTCGCAGACAACAGGGGCGGATCTAGGAATTTTGAAAAGGGCGGGGGGCGCCGCAAAATGAGGGTACTGACCGCGGAGACGCAGCACGCCGCTGAGAGGGGGGGGGGTCCCCCAAGAAAATTATCCATCATTTCCTGCATCTGTAGCCATTCCAAGAGCTATTTGGCTGATATTTTCGTCTAAGTAAACATTCGGAAATCGTTGAAAAAGAGCCTTAAAATAGAGCAAAAAAGCCAGTTGAACACACGACTCGAAAATTGTCAAGGCGAGCGAGGCATTATGATGGGAAAAAAGACGAATCTATTCCCTAGCCACTTGTAACTTGTACTGTCCACACATGAAACAATGCTACATCAAGTTGCACTAATGCGCGTCGGTGATGGGCATGACTTTATAGTAGTATACGCCGCCGACTCCACAAGATGCTATCATTGATGTCTGTCTATAGTCACTCTATAGGATTAGGGCACCGTCAGCTAAACAACAAGAATTTGTTTGAAAGTGGAAGCATTAATTAGACCAGACTGGTGTGTTTAAGTCGATGGCTTGAGTCATTTGGGATCCCTGCAACGGGTTGGGAACGGACATATTTGAGTCTGAGAAAAGGCACTTTCAGCAGTAAAAAAAGGCACTGTCGAAAATTAGGGGGGGCGCGTGTCCCCCCCTTGGATCCGCCTCTGGACAATGTCAGTCACAGGCTTTGTCAGACACAAAACTTCTGGTACCTGTCATTTTGTCCGGTACTGATTTGTCTTTTTTATTGATATTATTAATACATGTCCAGCGCTAAGTTGAAAATGTCAGGTACTATTTCATTACTGTCTGACATTTTGTCAGGTACATACAAAACTGTTATTTCCAGGCCTGAAAATCGGGAAAAAAAATTGTGACCTCTAGAGAATCTGAAAGCTAAAAATGGGATTTTTCGAACAATCAGGGGCCATAATCCAGAAGTTACGTTCGGATATGCATGATTATCAAATGGTCCTATTTTCACGAAATTGGAACACAACCAAGATTAGGGTGTAAACATGCATTCCAAGTTTCATCAAAATTGGGGGAAAATTGTGAGCTCTAGAGGATCCACAACCGTGATATACTATATTTTTACGTATGTGGGGCGGCCATTTTGTCTGGCAGTTTTGGTCCAATTTGAACTCAACAAACATCGCGGTGTAACAGTGATATATTCGAACGGTTTTTAAAATCTGAATAAAATTGTGACCTCCATAGGGTCAACAAGCTAAAAAAAACGTGATTTTGCTTACAACCAGGGGTCATAATTCAGGAAGTAAAGGAACCAAGATCTTTGGATTATAAACTTACATTTCAAATTTCAACAAAATCAGATAAAGATAGGTTGCCAGGCAACAAAACATACGCTCACAGCAGCTAAATCGTCCGAGCAGTCGACAAGGGTTGTCGCATATTTATGATTTTGTAGGTAATTTGGGGAATTTAATAGACAATTTCATACAGATGACATTATAATTTTCGTTGTTTGAGGGTTCACAAGGTTCTAAAAACTAAAATAAGGGCCATAACTCTAGAAGTAATCTACAGAAATTGTTGAAATTTGACAGGCCTTTTTGTTTTACTAATTCAAATAATGCATATAATTTTCAGACAGATCGGATGATAACTTTTGTCGTTCGAACGTTCACAAGGTTCAACAAAGTAAAACAAGGGCCATAACTCTAAAAGTAATTGACGGAAATTGCTAACCATTCAATAGGCTTCTTCATTTCACTAATTTAAATGATGGATATCAATTTCAAACAGATCGGATGATAAATGTCATTAGAGCGTTCACAAGATTCAACAAAGTGAAACAAGGGCCATAACTCTAGATGTAAATAACGGAAATTGATGAAATTCAATAGGCTTCTTTGTTTTACTAATTTAAATGATGCATATAAATTTCATACAGATCGGATAATAACTTTTGTCGTAGAGCATTCACAAGGTACAACAAAGTGAAACAAGGGCCATAACTCATGCGTAATTAACGGAAATTGCTGAAATTCAATAGGCTTCTTCGTTTCACTAATTTAAATGATGCGTATCAATTTCAAACAGATCGGATGATAACTGTTGTCATTAGAGCGTTCACAAGATTCAACAACGTGAAACAAAGGCCATAACTCTAGATGTAATTAACGGAAATTGCTGAAATTCAATAGGCTTCTTTGTTTTACTAATTTAAATGATGCATACAAATTTCATACAGATCGAATAATAACTTTTAACTTTCGAGTGTTCACATGGTTCAACAAAGAGGTAATTAACGGAAAATGCTGAAATTTTGTCATTAGAGCTTTCACTTACCGCAGAAAAGTGAAACAGGGACCATAACCCCAGAAGAAATTAACGGAAGTTATTGAAATTAAATAGGTTTCTTCATCTCACTAATGCAAACAACTTTTATCAATTTCAAAACAATCATATGATAAATGTAGTCTGTAGAGTTTTCACAAGAAATTGTGGACGATGGACAGACGGACGGACCAACAGGCTGACAAGGGCGACGGCAATATACGACCATATTTCCATGTGGGCGTATAAAAATTGTGACCTCTATAGGGTCCACAAGCTAAAAATGTGATTTTTCGTACAATCAGGGCCCATATCATGAACTTACGGTCCGATACATGCTAATATCGAAAGAAACCGAGATCCTATATTTCAAGTTTCATTGAAATTGGTTAAAAATTGTGACCTGTAGCCACAAACAGGTGCGACGACAAAATATACGTCCGCATGAAAATGTGAGCGTATAAAAATCACGTTTTTAGCATGTGGACTAGAGTAGAGGTTACAATTTTTATCCAATTTTGATGAAACTTGAAATATGTTTATAACTCAACAATCTCTGTTCCTTCTGATTTTTGTGCATATTGGACTGTAACTTCCTAGATTATGGCCCCTGATTGAATGGAAAATTGTGTTTTTAGCGTGTGGTCACTCAAAAGGGCACAATTTTTATCTGATTTTAAAAAACATTCAAATATTACACATAATGAAGGTTGAATCTGAAATTGCTTGACAAAATGGCTGCTCCTTGCATGCAATAGTGTTAGAGTATGTAATATCAAGTTTGTGGACCTTCTAAAGATCACAATTTTTTTACAATTTTGATGAAACTTAAAATATATCTTTATATCTCAAAGATCTCAGTCCCTTTCGATATTTGTGCATTTGTAGTGAATGTCAACTGATTGCTCGCTGAAGATAACACGTGACTACATGAATCAATCACTTTTACTACGAATCTGACAAGGTACGGTTGTTAACCAAGCTAACAAGTTGTCGGCCACGACTACACTTGGCGTAAGCCGAATCACGGATTGGTAAAAGTCAATATATTGAGTATACTGTATCGTGAGTATTGTGATTCACAATCATTGTATTTGCGTATACATTATATTTTTTAACATTGTGTGATAATAAGAGTCATAATAGCGATCGTAAGTGGGTCATATCATTGTGAATCACTGATTGTTCACCTTGACTCCATCGCCAGTGTTTTGATAATCTATAGAAGTTAATTTATGTTTGCTTGTTGTGAAAGATAGTTACAGCGATTTCGTCATGTCAATATTCTCTCTATATATATATAACCCACCTGCACGTCACGGAATAGCTAACTTTTTGTTGGTTCAATTTCCCGCGCGTACACCACTCAAAGGGACGCCATTACTGTTTGGGTGATAGCTAACATTTTTGTTGGTTCATGGCCCAAGTTAATTGTTTCCCCTATTTACATTTATCCATATAGAAATAAATACATTTACTATAGTTTGTTCCACTTTATTTAAAATATGGCAATAAATTTACAGTCTGCAAATCTTGAACAGTTGAAATCATTACATTCAATTGGTGAAGGCAGGGCAAATAGAATAATGGCAATAAGACATCAGCATGGACAAGTTACGATGGAACATCTCGTAGAGGTTGGATACTGGTATTATAACCTTTGAACCTCCATCTGATGATAAGACGGTACTCTATCCTCTTGAGGAGGTGGGGGAGGACAAGAGAATTGAAAAAATGATAGACAGGAAAATTGAAAATAGTTTTATTAAATTTCAGGAAATAGTAAGGCAGATGGCCACTGATCTGCGTAATCAGTTCCGGGCCTACTGTCGTCCACCACCACGTTCTTCCTTGCAAGATTCGGGAGCTGTTGGCGGTGTGGGGGTTCAAGCTCCTGCAGCTCCCTTGCCGTCTGCATCCAATCCTGTCATAACAGATCCTGTAATTGAAAATATATTGAACACAATCCCGCCAGATGGTAGATGTGGTTCCAGTAAGAGCACGGATGTCCGCTCCAAATCAAAAAACTCTCAAGGTAGGCTTAGAGATCAGTCCATGTTAAAAAAGGAGCCTTTACTGGAGGATAACTTAAAATTAAATCAAGGTCCGCCTAGTGGACATTCCTCGAGGGGTCATTCACCTCGACGAGGCTCAACAGCTTCCAAAGGTCATGGGTCTACGAGGTCCATACACAGACATCATTCCACTAGCTCCATTGAGGAATCCGACCCATATTTTGAGAACCGATCTTTTCGTGACTGGCTATCTTCGGATTCTGATTCTGAAATAGAACAAGACGAACAGCACTGCCGCTGTGACGATAAGACTTCTTGGGAAACATTCTACGACCAATTTGAGTGTATATGCCATCGTTATAATTGGTCCAGCCGAAAAATGTTTAACAATACGTCAAGTTGCCTTAGAGGAACTGCTCTGGAATATGCTAACCGTCTTGGTATCCGGAAATACCGGACACTTGTCAAGGAAATGGGGCTCAGGTTCTCTAATTGTGAGGCTTCAATAACTTCTCGTAGGGAGCTTCAGTCAATTGGGCAGTTTGACTCTGAGACCCTCGAAGAGTTCGCTCAAAGGGTTGAATTTCTTACCTTAGATGGCTATTACATGACAAACAGAGAGGCCAGTAACCAGATAGCTATTGAAGCACTTGATTTCTTAGAGCAGTATGGATGTGTTGTCAACTTGCGCAATTGTACTGTGTCTATAGGGAATTATGTCGTATCTGCTACCCGAAAATACTCACCCGGAAATACTAGTACAGTCAGTAGGGTGTATGTTAAGAAAAACTACTCTATTCCACCAAATTCATCAACTATAATCGAGGTAACCCTTGATGGTGCTGATTTAGGGGTTTTGCATACGAGCCTAATGCTCAACATTCAATCTTCTTGATGTCTACCTCTTTGGTATCTGGTCCCACTGGACATTTTAGTATTCTTTATGACTCGAATGTTGGTTACCTGATCAAACATGGTGTTCATTTAGGCAATGCTGAGGCCATTCAGAAGTAATAAGCCAGGTTAATGAGGAATTTCAGATACGGTCCTGCAGTATGTTCTCAGAGCCTATGTTCCCACCAAGATTTCCCGATCACCTTCAGGACTTGTACAGACGATCAGTAGTCCACTTGCCTGGAAATTATCATAATGATTTAGCCCGTCTGCTGTTCGAATATTCAGATGTGTTTGCTGCCGCTGATTTTGATCTTGATTGTCTCTCAACCGTTCAGCACCATATAGATACCCAGCAGGAACCTCCCGTCAAACCGAGAATGAGACGAACACCCCTGGGTTTTCAGGAGGTAGAGAAATTGCTTAAAGCCGGTGTGATTGTGCCATCAAAATCGGATTGGAGCAGTTCCCCAGTTTTGGTGAGGAAGAAAGATGGGAGCTGCCGCTACTGTATTGACTACAGAGCTCTTAATAAGCGAACAGTAAAAGATAATTTTCCATTATCCATCATTGAGGATTGTCTTGATTCGCTTCAGGGATATTATCAGATTGGATTGGATGAATACTCCAGGAAAAAGACATCATTCATAACCCGCTATGGTTTGTTTGAACACGTTCACATGGGATTCAGAGCTTTGAGCAACCTGTCCCAGGACAATATCGATGCTGGTTCGAGGTCTCCCACACCAGCTGGCATCAGAGAGGGGATATCACTGTCGCTGGTTGACCAGGATGATAATGATGGATTTGTTCCAGTAATTGCTGAAGACTCCACAAAAATATAATGATTATATTTTATTATAATCTACGCACATACATACTTTTTTTTAAAACTGCACAGATTTTATTCCTAAATAATTGTTGGTGGTATGGTTTCAGTCTTCATTATATTTTAACCATTATTTTATTTCTTTTTAGATGGCTTCTGAGACAGGAGATTTTACCGGAGATTATTTTAGGATAGTGAAGACTAGTTGTAGTGAACGAGTTTTATTTAGTCAGAAATGTCGGTTGACAACCATAAAAAGAAGAATAGCTGTATCAGATACAATTACGGGTGTTCGAGGGTTCACACAAGTATTTGTAGCTCTCTATACCTCCGTGAAACTGTAAATAGCTGTAGATATTCCATCTTCTGGCGGGAGGGGGGATTCCGCCCGAAATGTCTCGTGCTAGCTGGTTACCAAAATGTCTTGTTCAATGGTATTGCAAGGGGCATTAAAATGTATAGAATTCCTTCCATTTTAATCATTTTTATTAATTTTTACTTTAGTCATCTGGTTTTTAAACAGTATCTAGCATATTTCCTTTAAGTTGACGTCAAAGTCTTTTGGATCGGGAGGAGTGTAGTGAATGTCACGTGATTGCTCGCTGACGATATCACGTGACTACATGAATGAATCACTTTTACTACGAATCTGACAAGGTACGGTTGTTAACCAAGCTAACAAGTTGTCGGCCACGACTACACATTTCAGACCAGAACTTCCTGGATTATGGCCCCTGATTGTACGAAAAATCACTGTTATTTGGTTTGGTTTTTTTTTTAGCTTATTCTCTATCCATCCTTGCAAAATATGAGCGTATCTTGCTTGGCAACTGCTGGTTACTTTAAACACTCAAACACTTGCTCTATATGTAGATTAAAATATTTTAATTTAGAAAAATACCCACTCAACAAAGCCAATCAATATTTTAAAAGTTATAACATTTTGCTTACATAATCAATGACAACGCCCACTTGTTTTGTTTGTAACAGAAATCATATGTAGTCGTAGAAGTTTGATATTTTCTTCATTTGCAAAAATTTAATGATGTAATATTTGACAGAGAGGAATTATAATTCATTTACCTTTTCTGTATCACTAACATGATCTTTCAAAGTTCTGTTATGCATATATGGATATAGAATATGAAATTTATGCTTTTCTAAAGCAATTCCATAAATGTTAAGAATATTTGTATCTTTTAAGGTGCGAAAGCGTATACACTCTTTCAATGCAACAGACACCCATGCTGGAAGAGCACCATTATCTGAAAGACAAATATATTATGCATTGGTTCAAAAATGTTCATTTTACTTCACTGAGATTGAAAGTTAATAGACTATTCAGATATCATATGTAAACTCTGCCAAACTCACTAAATACCAGCGGCTGCCAGGCAGGATATGCCCACATTTTCGAGAGATGGATAGAGAACAAGCTAAAAAGAAAGCGATTTTTTGTACAATCAGGGGCCATAATTCAGGAAGTTACGGTCCAATATGCGCGAATATCCAAAGGAACCGAGATCTTTGGGTTATAAACTTACATTTCAAGTTTCAACAAAATCGGATAAAAATTGTGACCTCTATAGGGTCCACAACCTTGATATACCATATTTTTACGCTATTTGAGAATGAACGGCGGCCATTTTGTCTGTCAATTTTGGGCCGATTTTCACAAAATTCGAACTCAGCCGTACTTAGGGTGTAACGGTGATATAATAATACGTTTTTTTAAATCGGATAAAAATTATGACCTCTATAGGGTCCACAAGCTAAAAACGCGATTTTCCGTACAATCAGGGGCCATAATTCAGGAATTTACGGTCCGATATGCGCGAATATCAAAAGGAACCGAGATCTTTGGGTTTTAAACTTACATTTCAAGTTTCATCAAAATCGGATTAAAATTGTGACCTCTATAGGGTCCACAACCTTGATATGCCATATTTTTACACTATTTGAGAACGAAGGGCGGCCATTTTGTCTGTCAGTTTTGAGTCGATTTTCACAAAATTCGAACTCAGCTGTCCTTAGGGTGTAACGGTGATATAAAAATACATTTTTTTAAATCGGATAAAAATTATGACCTCTATAGGGTCCACAAGCTAAAAATGTGATTTTTCGTACAATCAGGGGCCATAATTCAGGAAGTTACGGTTCGATGTGCGCGAATATCGAAAGGAATTGAGATCTTTGGGTTATAAACTTACATTTCAAGTTTCAACAAAATCGGATAAAAATTGTGACCTCTACAGCAGGGGCGGATTGGGGCCGGGAACCGGCCCGGGCTCCCTTGTCGGATCAGCCCCTTTTACTGACCGCGGAGCCGGATGGGGGATCCGGGGGCTCTCCCCCATGAAAATTTTGAAAAATGAACCCCAAATATGCGATTTGGTGGCATATCTGATTATAATCTCTGTCAACAAATAATATATCTCATAAATCGATTAATTTAGACCAAAACCCCGACCTGCAAGTAATTTACAACCATCAACCTGTGAAATTATCATATCGTCATATTATTAATTAACGTATTATCATTGTATCGTCAAGACCAGCTATCATCAAATTTTGCAGATGTTTCTGGCGACAGTGTCGGGTGAATCCGATGAAATTTTTCGGATGAAATTCGGAACCACCATTGCAGGATTCCGAATTCCGGCCCACACCCAGCACACCCGGCCCAGAAAGTCTATTATACCAGCCCAATCCAGATTCCAGTAATGGCGTGGCGGCCCTTTAAAGCCACCGGCCACATACAACATGATCATCATCGCTCCATGGCCGGTCCAATACCCCCCCCCCCCCATATAATGTTCAGCAGAAAAGTTTTTTTAGACGAATTGGACAAAATTATTTTTTTTCATTTTTTGTCTGACCGGCCCAATCCGCCCCTGCTCTACAGTGTTCACAAGCTAAAAACGTGATTTTTCGTACAATCAGGGGCCATAATCCATGAAGTTACAGTCCTATACATGCCAATAGCAAAAGGAACCGAGATCTTCGGGTGATAAACCTGTATTTCAAGTTTCATTGAAATCGGATAAAAATTGTGACCTGTAGACTGTTCACAAACAATTGTGGCCGGCCGGCTGGCCGGACGGACAGAAGCTACGTCAATATACGTCCACATGAAAATGTGGGCGTATAAAAACTATAAACCATAAGCACCTAGGTGGCGGTTGTTGAGTAACTGTGCTCTCCAAATTTTGATAATTTTCTGTGTATTTTAACAACAACAGGGAAGAATTTAGTGAAAGAATTTAAAAAAAAACCTTTTGGATTTCCAAAATTATTGCTGAATTATCAGTTTGAATGGAAAAATAAAGTGATATACAGATGTAAAGAACTGTGCTGAATTTCTCTGCTGTTAATCTCTATTGTTCTCTTCCACTTAGTGTCATTGATCCACATCAAACCCTTATTGTTTTTAAAAGAGAGGTTAATGAGGGAAAGGAAACAACAGATTAGAAAATTTCAAACCACTTACCTGGTAATGGATGTTTAAGAGATTTGATTGTCAATTTTTTTCTATCTCTAACCAAAATTCCATCAAGCCGCCTTGCTTTATCACCTAAAACATAAATAAACTACTTGTATCCCTATTCCAAACTGAAAACCCATACAAAAATATTTGTGGTTTGGGTACCCCTTATTTTACCTATGGTAGGGAAATTATTCCTGTGCACACATCTGAGTTTGATCGAACAGTGAATATGCCCACTGGTGAGCTGACTGTTCAAGGGTGTTGACAAAAGGTAGTCACATTATGGTAGTTTGTATTTGTTATAAACATTTCGAATGTTTGAGGTAAAGGCTATAACCTCTGAAGGTTTCAATAACTGGTCACAAAAATAGCAGAAACGTGACAAATCCTTTAAACCAATGGCTAAATGATCTAACACTATATTTAGAAGAATATGAGTATACCTTTAGCTGTACATATTTTGCCCAGTGTAAATTCATCAGCTGACTTTAAACTATCTGCAATATCATTTCTGTTACCATGTTCTAATCTTCGCAAAAACTTGCGTTTCATATCTTCTAATGAGGTTTGTTGCGTTATGGCAGAAGGTTTGTCAATACCAATGTATTCATTAGGACGACTTATTACCGGATCCATTGAAACTGTTAAAATAAACACTTAATTGAACATACAAAAATAAACACATCCTATTAACAATACCTTAGGGACATGTTTAGCAATCTGAGTATTGGGGGTGAGAGGAGGGATGGGGGCTGAGATGGGGATTACAAGAATTTTATAAAACCAGATACTCCAAGACAAAATTTCTGCTCATTTAGGTGCATAAATTTATAGAATTACAGAGCACACATCCTCCCCCCTGCCTGTACATAAGCAGAATTAGAATTTTTTTCAAGAAAAAACAGTTTAGATTTAGATTCTGATCTTTATAAAGGAAAACAGAAACCATTAGAATTACAAACCATCTTGGCTGAGAGAGTTCTCCAGGATTTTACAGTGCGGTTCCACCTTGTCACCTGGCAAGGACAGCATCTAGTTATTCAGTTAGGACAAAACACTAAGCAGGGGCGGATCCAGGAATTTTTGCAGGGGGTGGGGGTGTGTTCCTGAGACAATGTATCTCCCCCCCCCCCCCCTCCCGTGTGGTCTCTATCGTCATTTTGGCGTATGTACATACACATTGAGCTTTTTAAACAGAGAAATCCAACACCTCGTTTGACGTCAATTTTTATCATGAATTAATACAATGACATTGTGATTCAATTTCATGGATGCAAAGCATTAATTGTGATATCACATAATGTCTATATCATTATCTCGTGCTTTGAGTGCCCATCCTGTCCCAAATCTGACGATAGAGGATAAAGCACACAGCCGAGAAACCTGTCTCATAAAAAGTGTTGATTTACAAGAAATTTTATGTAGCTGAGCAGGGGGGGTTTCGACCCCCCAAACCCCCCCTCTGGATCTGCCCCTGCTAAGGTCCTATGTACTCATTGGCGGGCAAGTGAAAAAATCTTTGACAATTGGAATTTGATATAAGAGTGGGTTGTAGCGTCACTGTCTGAGTAAAATTTCTCTCATAGCACACTGTATGGCATATGCCCATCTTCTATATCCCAGTTGGTGCAGAAAAGTAGGATGTTAAATCCCATTTCATTTCATTTCATTATATAGTCTTCAAAAAAAGTAGGAGATATTCAGAAACGGAAATGCACTGCTGTTTTTATTAGAGGTAACCATTGTATGTTAATAACAGGTCAATTGTCTACACGTGAACATAAACAGTTCATATGGGCGGCTTATCTGACGGACCCATTTCACTCGCAAAGAGATACACTGTCAAAAGTGAAAATGGACGTTTTTGATTTTTGTCTTAATAATGAGTAATTGCTCCACCAATCCTTAGACATTCAGCAATTCGTCATGGCATGCTCCTAATCAACCGTCCAATCCCGATTTGGGGCAATCTGACCCACTCCTCTTGCATTGCCACAGCCACTCCTTTCAGTATTGTCGGTTGACGTTGACGTCGACGAACACATCTCCCGATCAAATTAAACATAACACACTAAAGCAAAGATGCGCTAAACAGTAAATCATATGCAAGAACCGATAGGAAAGCAAACATGAATAGGATAAAAAAGCAAGCGGCAGTTTTCATCAACCCTTCCTCGAAGTGTCAAATTTGAAAATGAACCCCTCCCACGTGTATGGCGCTATTGCATGTCGCACATGGAGCTCTTCACCTGTGAACATACTCTCAAAAGCATGTCAAGTGTCCATGACTATTTATCACATCACAACCTGCATAGGTATTTGCATTTCAATATCCCCTACTTTTTTTGAAGAGTATATTAAAATCAAACCAATAAGCTTCTCTGACGGGCTAAGTGATGGGGACGTAATGACAAGCTTTGGGTCATAAGCTTGCCACCCCCCCTCCTTGAAAACAAACTTTCTATGCAGTTTTTTAACGCTATTGGCAGATTATAATGTCCATTACTTCATTATCATACCATGACTTAGACATATGCTACAAATTGACTTGAGCATGTTCAACAAATTGACTCTAGTCCAAAATATTTCTGAAAAAAAAACCTTCCCCCACCTTCCCTAAATATTGGGGTTTTGTTCCCCCCACTGACCAGTATGTTATTCCTCATGTTAAATCGTGCCGTCACCATATCTCCTGTACATTTACAGATTACAAATAGTCCAAATAGTTTATCTGAAATTTTATCATAAAATATTGACCTATTAGGAACTGATCGCTAGATTAGCTTAACAAGGCAATGTATGAATAACTTGATAATTGCGACGATCACACAGAAATAACCCATATATCGGATGTTTCTACTAAAATCGACCATATACATAATAATATATTATATTAGCGTATATTTTTATTCTATTGGAAATTACAGTAGAGTTCTTTGTAAGACATCATATGATTCATCCCAAAGAAACTATAAACATATGTAAAACTTACTCTCAGCATTAGGATTATACTGTGAATCTCTTGAGTTGCCGTTTCTTCTCCAGAAACATACTGTAGCTATAATAATTAGTACCAAGACTATAAAACCAGCTACACCAACCATTATATATATAAAATATACAGAATCCACCAAATCTTTATAGTTTAATTTACCAACGTCTACTTCTTTCATATCCCCCATTTTCAGCTAAAATATTTTTAAAAGGTACTGGTATATATTGTATGTAATTTGAAAGAACATATATACCGTGAACATTCCCAAATCCATTATTATATATTGTGTTAATCTCATAACAATGTTATAAATCCAAATTGAGGAATTCAAATTAGAAATGTAATACAAAAATATTCAATGTACAGACAGACTAACGTTATAATGTTTCTAACCAATTATAGTCCTACTTTGAATAGACCAAATTTTCATTAACTCCAGTTGTAATTATATTAATATCTTTTTCGGTTTGGATATATTTTTCAAGCACTCTTTTGTTTCAATAACCTACATGTTGTTTTTGTTTTAATCAGGCCCGGCAGAGTGGGGGGGGGGGCTTGGGGACCTAGGATGAAAGCCCCCCCCCCCCCCCCCAATCAAGAATTGCTTCCGCCGGCCCTGTTTAATAACATACCTTTAGGCTTTAACATATATTATTTTTGTTTTAATAACTAACATACCTTTAACATATATTGTTTTTGTTTTAATAACATACCTTTAACATATATTGTTTTTGTTTTAATAACATACCTTTAACATATATTGTTTTTGTTTTAATAACATACCTTTAACATATATTGTTTTTGTTTTTAAAGGGACAATAACACTCTTGCTGGCTTGAAAGCTCCAGAAAATAAATAATATCTCTATCTAAGTACTAGATGTTTAAGTGTCCTACCTGTTGTGTAAATTATCCATTACATCCTATTTTACTTGTCCAGAGGGTTGGAAAATATTTTTAAATCGAAGTTTCATTTGAAAAGGTTTACGTTAGACGTTTCAAACCATATGTTGAACTTTTCCAAATTTTTAAATAAGGTGTGTCAAGATAAAATTTGTATCATCAATTAATTGAAATATTCTAAAATAGTACAATTTGTTGACCAGAATAAAGATTGGGACATATTATTCAGTTACAACAAGAGTGGTATTGAGCCTTTAATAACATACCTTTAAAATGTATTGTTTTTGTTCTGAATTTGGTGGAGATGTTGGTGGAGTACAAGTTAAAGATGCATCCGTTATATCAGTTATAACACATTCTGTACCATTTACACCCAGTGTAACCATCACCATGTCCTTATCACATAATTTAAAGTCCCTTCCCTGAAAATAAATTATTTAAACAATCTGAAAACACAGACATTTTTTCGGTTGATTATATTTTAATTCAATGTTTTAACATTAATATGTTTTAGTCCAGATTTGTCTTTAGCAAACAAGTCAACAGTGAGGCTATTGTCCCCTGCCGAAATACCAAAATAAACAGATGACACTTATTAATTAATTGCACATTCATCTTTTTCAAAAGTATCAAATAATCAAACTGATTATCTATGCTTATTCTAAGCATAAAATGTTCACAATTAAACTCAATCAGGTTTTGAAGTACCTGGTAATGAAACTATATATAAGTTTCACCACTCTCCATCAGTTAGAATCAAAGTTATCTTGTCTCAAATTAATTAATTGCACATTTATCTATGCTTAACTATGCTTTATAGTCTAAGCATAAAATGTTTACAATCAAACTCAGTCAGGTTTTGAAGTACCTGGTAGTGAAACTATACATAAGTTTTATCAGTTAGAAGCAAAGTTATCATGTCCCAAAGCATCGACCAATGATATTGCTAAGCTCTGCTTAGCTTTAGCGGGAAATATTAATCACTGAACTCAGTCAAGACATTGGCCTAATGAACATCTATACCTCAATTAAAAGCAGAGTCGTTATGTTTCAAAGTCTTGACCAATCAAATTGCTTATCGATACTTAGCCTAAGCAGAGAATTTTCATCATCAAACTTAGTCAATGTATTGATATGATGCATCTATACTCAGAGTTTCATGGCTCTCACCTAATCAGAACCAAAGTTATCGTGTCCCAAAGCATCAACAAATTAAATTGCTAATCTCTGCTTACCCTAAGCAGAAAATGCTCATCTTTGAACTTCATCAACGCTTTCACCTAATCCACGCCTACACCAAGTTTGAACATTCTACCTCAATTTGAAGGAGAGTTACTGTGTTCCAAAATCTCAACTAATCAAATTGTTTATCGCTCTGCTTACCCTGAGCAGAAAATGCTCATTATCGAACTTAGTCAAGGTACTGATGCAATGAAACTATACACCAAGTTTCATCAATCTCACTTAATTAGAACTGAAGTTATCATTTCCCAAAGCATCAACCAATGAAATTGCTTATGTCTGCTTACCCTAAGATGAAAATGTTCATCTTCGAACTCCATCAAGGCATTCACTAATAAACAGCTATACCAAATTTGAACATTGTAGTTCACTTAGAAAGAAAGTTATTGTGTCCCAAAAAGTATGACAAGCGGGCGGTCGGACAGACAGACAGACAGAAAGCGGGGGACAAAAAGTATCCAAAGGGGATATTTGTGTTCATAAGAACATTTTCAGTCATGATTTGTATTAAAAGATTCCAACAAAGATTCCAATCCGAAGGTTATAAATCTAAATCATTTTAAAGAAGCAGTACTTACTGTTATTTCAATAGTTTTGGTAAATGGACTAGTAAAGTCAAAGGCTTCATTATTCAATACTGTTGGTTCAGAAATAACTACTAATCTGAAATTGTGTCCACAATTGGGACAATCCAGATCTAAACTAGCATTAAATTCTTTGCCCCCAATATTACTTGGTATTGTACATGTGATTGTTTCACCATCAGTTGACTCACAAACCTAATATTTGTAATGATAAAACGTATATTACAAAAATATTGTTTAGAAACCTAAACTGATTTATTTATCAATGTGAAAACTCATTTAAACCTACAGCTTGATATAAAACTAAAAATCTATACATACAATAATAAAGTTACGGTGGCTGATTTAGGACACGCAAAAAAAAAATATCTCGACTTAGTATCTCGAGCGCTCGACTTAGTATCTCGATCATTCGACTTAATATCTCGAGTGCTCGAGTTATTATATTTTTTTTTGCGTGTCCTAAATCAGCCACCGTATAAAGTTGAAATTTATCATGAAATAAATACAAGTCTCAATAAAACTGTGAAGCTTATTAACATTTAAGGGACATGTACTGATACACTGGGGGTATTTACTGATACACTGGGGTATGTTCAAATTGATTTGCAAGCATGTAGAAAAGCAAATCTGTCAATTGATCGCTGATAAACTGATGTTTCAACTTTAAATTTACTAGTCATTTTCATGTCGACGTATAGTCGTCGCCCCTGTCCATCCAGACAGACCGTGTGGACGTCTGTTCATCCACAATTTGTTTGCGGACACCCTACAGGTTACAATCTTTATTTGATTTTGACGTTACTTGAAATATAGGTTTACCTTGCAAAGATCTCTGTTCCTTTCGATAATGGCATGTATTTGATTGTAACTTCATGGATTATGGCCCCATGATTGTACGAAAAATCACTTTTTCAAACTTGTGGACACTCTAGAGATCCTAATTTTTATCTGATCTTGATGAAACTTGAAATATATGTTTATAACTCAATAATTCCTTTCAATATTTGCACATATTAGACCGCGACTTCCTGGATTATGATCCCTAATGGAATGAAAAAACATGTTTTTAGCGTGTGGCCCCTATAGAGGTCACGATTTTTATCCGATTTAAAAAAAAAATTCCAATATGTCACCGTTACACCATAATGATGCTGGTGATCGAATTTCGTAAAAAATTGGACCGAAACTGCCGGACAGAATGGCCACTCACTGTATGCAAATAGTGTTAAAGTATTATTGTAATATCGAGGTTGCGGATACTCTAGAGGTCACAATTTGTATCCGATTTTGATGAAACTTAAATCATGTATTTATATCCCAAAAAGATCTCTACTATATTGGACCATAAGTTTATGGATTATGGCCCCTGATTGTATGTAAAAATTGGGATGTTTTTTTCCGATTTTAAAAATCGTTTAAATATATCATCGTTATACCCTGATGATGATTGAGTTTAAAAAACGTTTAAAAATATCACAGTTGCACCATAATGGAACTTGAGTTCAAAGTTCATAAAAATCAGACCGAAACTGCCTGACAAAATGGCCGCTGCTTGAAAACAAATAGTGAAAAAGTATGTAATACCAAGGTTGTGGACCTGCTAGAGGTCACAGTCTGATTTTGATGAAACTTAAAATATATGTTTATATCCCAAAGATCTCAAATCCTTTGGATATTCACACATATCAGACCATAACTTCCGTAATTATGTCCCCTGATTAGCTTGTGGCTCCTCTGGAGGTCACAATTTTTATCCGATTTCGTAAAAAATGGACTGAAACTGCCTGACAAAATGAATGCCCCTTGAACGCAAATAGTTGAGGAGTATGTAATATGAATGTTGTGGATTATGGACCCTGATTGTACAAAAAATCACTTTTGTTCTCTATCTATCTCTTGCAAAATGTGGGCATATCTTGCCTGGCATTTATGACAGATTTTGAAAAATACTTAACCTTAAGTAAGTACAGTGATCAAATTTTTGATAATTAGGTTAGTCTAAGATCATTTTAAATTGTATATTTTTTGCAATTAATTACTCTTTTTATCTTGGTAACTGCAGTGATTGGATTTTTGATATGTTTATTTTAAATAGGATATTGTTCACAATTAATTGCTCTTTTTATCTTCGAAAAAATGAGTTTATTACATTTAACCTGGGATATATGAATGGAGACCTATTAATCTTGTGTTCTCTCCTTCTAATATACAAATCTACAAGGACAAAATACATACCTGGGACTCGCTATTTGCAGAACCGAAAGTTATGGTTGGTTTATATACACTTTGGAGATTTTTTCCACCAAACTTTATCTTACATCTGTTTGAAAAATAGAACAAAGTGTTTCATCAGCAGGCACACTACTGTAAACTTCAATCAATTCTTAATTTTGAGTAACTTTAAAGACCAATATCACGATAAATAATGTTTTTCTCAACACATCTATCTTACTCACTACTGAAATATTACGAATTTCATCAAAACAGTTACTTGTTTTCAACTTATATTATTTTTATTCACCTTTTCTTGCCAAAAAAAAATAATGTTATTATATATTTCTTTATTATCTCCAATGTTTTAGATGTTGCTTTTTTTGTTTGTTCTAACAGTAGGCCTATCATTCACAATTTACAAATGATGAATTTTTACTTTTCAACAATGTCTTAAAACTAAATAAAAAATATGATGTAAAATAAACACTAAATATTTTTAAAGGGTTTCCTGACAATTAACTAATTACTCAGAATTGTGTGAAGATCTGTATATAAAGCCAATTTTCATCAGAACAGAAAGTTTCTGAGATTACTCGTACTATCAGACTAAAACATGATTTGAACAAATGAAATACATTACCCTATTGCTGCTCTTTTATCACTTTCTCCCACCAGTTCAGGATCAGGTTTGAATTCAAAATCATCCACATGTATTTGATAAAATCCATTTGGTTCCCAGGTTGTATTATAATAGCTTAAAATCAAATCTTCACTACTACCATTACTTGGCATGGTGTTAAATACTAAGCGAGACGAGTTGCTGAAATTTTAATCACTAGATGACAGTAAAACAGGTATATTCATTTCAAAATTTAGACCAATAAAGTTTCATATTAACAGTGTTTGCCATTTGCAAAAGATCACAAATAGCAAATAGCACATATACAGAGCTTCATTTAACCGGTGACTAGGTGGCGCCGCCACCCCGTACTGGCCAAACTGTGCCGCCTACTGAGCCCAAAAGTTGAAGATTGGGCCGCAACATACATACGTTTCGAAAATCGCTGATAAGGTTTTTCCCATGTGCCAAGCATGCCTGAGGCTGATAATTTGTCATGTCCCTGGCTGGCCGAACCAGTCAGCAGCCAGCGCAGCGAGGTTCCCGTGGTCTCACTTTGGAACTAGTGTCCTGTCAGTTTCATGTCTGGTATCCGATCAATAGTGAAAGTGAAAGTAGAAGTTTGGAAAAGATTTTATTTCGATATTTCTATCGTATTTTTATCGTATTTTATCTTTTATCGCTAGGCAGAATGGCTGAAGGTAACGGTCCACCGGACAAAGTAAAGAAACGGTTCGTCCAGATGACATTAGCCTTCACAAAAAAATCGAAGGAAGGTGATGAAAATAATGAAACTGATGACAAGATGCCAAAACTAATATATAGTGTATCAAATCTCCGAAACTATTTTTTAAGTGCTCAGAAATCGAGTCTAAAGGAGTCAATTTTCAAAATTTTCTGGGGGAGGGCCACCCCGCACGGGCTCACATCTGCGGTGTTCGCGCGGTTAGCACCTATGGTGCTCGCGGGTCGGGCGCACGACCGAATCATTAGACGAGGCTCTGCACATATATATATATAAAAGTGCAAAGAAGCTGCATGTGACCTTATGTCCCCCACCCTCTTTGTTTTTCTTATGTTTACATGGTTTATTAAACCCATAAGCAAATTTCTGAACTAAAGTCAGTCTTATTATAGACCCAAATCTAGATGTGTTCGTGTATTGTCGTAATAGTACTAGTCAACATTTAATTCTGAAAACTCCAGAAATTAAAGTTTATGAAGGCAAATGTTCAATGTAGCAATAGCATGGTAAGCCATGATGATTTTGGTTATGCTTGGATTAGGCATTTTAAAGTTATAACCCTTGATCTCAAAACTGTAAAGGATCTACATCTCTTTCATTTAGGTCCAAATGTCTGTCAATTTTAAGGTCACAATTGGAAGGAATGAATGAAATGGGGTTCAACATCCTACTTTTCTGTACCAATCGGGCTAATGAGGGAAATATTGCCTGGACAGTAATTGAATTACTACTGACAAAGGTTCTTTTACATGCATGCCAACATGTATGCAGAACATCAGATTTTTATCCCATCCAAACAACTAGACACGGTCAACACCAAGATCAAATCCTCAACATCCTGCTTAGTGAGGCAGCGCCTTACTCACTGAGCAGTGAGCAACCATTGCTCCCGGTCATAGTTGGTGTGATGAACTGAGTTAGTAGAGAATATGACTCTATCTAACAATCCTAATTACAATCTGGCTGATAAAAGGATGGTGGATTTTGTTGATCGGCAATTTATATTTTATATTGAGATGTTTACTTTATAGTTATATTCTGTTTTTGACCTCCAATAGAGACATCCGGTATATAGTTTATATCAAGCCCTGTTATAGTAACAGCTGTGCTACCAGACATAGGACCATACTTAGGCTCCATTTCAGGCACCTTAATCTGAAAAACACAATATTTGCAATACACACCAGTGTCATCATTATATATGGTGATAAGTGCAAGTAAAATAACAAGCAGTTGCCATGCAAGATATGCCCACATTTTGCACGAGATGGAAAGAGAAAAGCGATTTTCGTACCAATAAACTTGTATTTTACTGACGGATATGCGTCAGTATCATAAGGAACCAAGATCTTTGGGATATAAACATACATTTTAAGTTTCATGAAAATCGGATAAAAATTGTGACCTTTAGAGGTTCCACAACTTTGGTATTACATACTTTAATACTATTTGAGTAAATGGGAGCAGTCATTTTGACAGGAAGTTTCGGTCCAAATCTGATCTCAACTGTCATTAGGGTGTAATTTTGATATATTTGAACGGTTTTTAAAATCAGATAATAACTGTGACCTCTAGAGGGACCACAAGCTAAAAACATGATTTTTCTTACAATTAGGGGCCATAATCCTGGAAGTAACGGTCCAATATGTGTGAACATTGGCAACAACTGAGATCTGTGGGTTATAAGCAAATATTGAAAGGAATTATTGAATATTAAACATATATTTCAAGTTTCTTCAAAATCGGATGAAAATTGTGACCTCTAGAGTGTTCACAAGCGAAAAACATGATTTTTTCATACAATCAGGGGCCATAATCCATGAAGTTACGATCGGATACATGCCAATATCGAAAGGAATGGAGATCTTTGGGAGATAAACCTACATTCAAGATTCGTCAAAATCGGATAAAACTTATGAACTTTGTGGACGTCCGGACAGACACGAGCAATGACAATATACATCCACATGAAAATCTGGGCGTATAAAATGTTTAATTGCCAATCAGAGGATTGGGTTAGGCCATCAGTATTGATAAATTCTCTGTCTGTGAGAAAATTTTGACGAAATTCTTCAGGTGGTTTAGAATGAATGAATTAATGAAATGGTATCTAACATCCTATTGTTCTGCACCTACTGTTCTAATGTAGATGGACATATGTCATACAGTGTGCTAAGGGAAGTTTCGCTACCAACATCTGGATCGATCCCAGGACTGACACGTAAGTGAGCCAGTGCTTTACGCACTGAGCCACCGCGGCTCCCTTCGAGTGTTGTAGAAGAAAAAGTATAAAATGTTGAAATTTGTCCCTTAAAAGGTGTTCCTGTCAAACTTCTATGATGCAAAGTCCTACGGGGGTCAATTAACTCCATTTGAATAAAACTGTAAACAACGTGTCTACTAAATTTGGTTGGATGAAGTGGTTGAGTAGAAGAATTTACTAAACTTAACCCTTTAAGTTGCCCCTGTACTATATATATATGCAACGAATCCTTGAAACAAATCTGAATAGATACAACTAAAGCAATACGTAACCAAATCTTAGTCACGGATATAAGATAATATTAAAGTGTGCTCCTGTCGGGCAGATTAACATCATTTCAACAAATCTAAATACATCCCGCCTAAGCAACTTTTCTACCAAATCTGATTGTAATCCATGAAGTGCTTTAGACAAATAATATTATGACCATTCAATTCCCACCCTCCCCTCCCTCACTCCTAGTACTGAAGCTGGTCTAATAATTTATCAAACTACACAGCTAATTTTTACCTTTAATAAATAAAGAATCATTGGTACTCACAGAACAGTTGCATGGCTTAGGAATACCACCAGAACAATTGTTGCTTTCATCTGATGTTTCTAGACATGTATCACAAGTTTTACCAGTTACACCTAGTTTACATGTGCACACATCAATTGTTGATGGTGTTAATAATGATCCCTGACTATTACACTGTCGACATTCATTATTTGATGCATTATAATACCCATCATGACACTCACATGTACCATCCTGTAACAACAGAGATACATCTATGGTCAAGTTTTAAAGGAATATAGATTTTATATTATTTTAGGCTCTATATATGCTTATCATATATTATTACCCAATAACACATTCTACAGTAGATGTCGCTTGTGTGATAACTTTTATAATCTACTGAGTGATATCTCATAAATCGATATCACTTTACATGAAATAAAATCTATACCAAAGACTTATATTTATTTTTTTGTCCGAGTAAGAAAGGGTTGGGTGCTAATAAAATCACCTACTTGTTTTTTTTGATATCAGAAAATATCAACACTCATGGATAAAAAAAAAAAAAAACCTTGGCAAAGCCTCGTTCATTTTTACATAATTGACCTGTGTTGATATTTTTTGATATCAAAAAAGACTTGTAGGAGATTCTTTATATATCTAATGTAATGTAAAAGTTACTACCTTTTTACTAAAACTGCTTATGCACTTTTCACAATTTTTCCCTGTAGTATTTGTGGCCGATTGACAGTTACACGTATACATTTGGTAATTGAATTGTCTTGAACAATTGTCTTCTTTACCATTACATGCACATCTATAATAAATAGAATACTGTATGCACTCAAAATATTCTAACATCCTCTGAATATTTATTCAGCATTTTTTATGTGTGGTTTAAAGGTCGAGTAATATACTGATACTACCAGAGGACGATATAAATCTAGACCATTAAACAATTTAAAATACAGACGCTATCCAGCACATGCATTTATTGAAATTGTCCAATCTAGTATAAATAATGCACGATTGGCACATAGCCGACCATTATTTCAAATAATGGTACGCCATTTTTAAAAGATGACAACATCACATCTGTATTTTAAGTCCATTTACAGTTGGTTATCTACCGTATGCTATCTAAGTCTAAAAACTCATACCGTTTGTTTAATCCAGAACTAAAATTCAGGTTGATTTCAATTTATCCGAAATATGCATTTATTAATCAAAATAAATAACATATATCATTCTTACAAATTAAAATTTTAAATAACGCTCTAAATAATAAAGCCTAGTTTGCCAAGCAAGGTAACATACATCCAACAGTTTGTTGATATTTTGTATTAACATAGAGAAGGTTTTGAGATTAAGAGCCTGTTCTGTAAATAATGATCTCGATCCAGATTTTGTGAAATCTCAACTCCATAGAGTAGGCTAAAATAGGGCTAGATCAATTTCTTAAGGCCAACTCTAGATTTCGTCAAGGTCGCTGAGATGTAAATAAGGTTAGGCCATGTGATTGTTGGTGAGATTGTAGGCTAGGGTTAGGGTAAGCATTAGTACGTACTAGGTCTAGGGTAACCGCTAGGGTTAGGGTTAGGGCTGGGATTAGCGCTAGCTCTGTTTACGTATTGTGACCGTTGACCAAACTTGAAATTGGCCTTATGAAATAGATCTAACCCTAAAATAGGGTACTGTCATGTCAGAGGCAATAACTCTGGAAGAACTTTTCAGAAAACTATATTTAAATCAATAAAGAGTGTCTTTACCATATTTGATGAAAATCGGACATGAAGAAATTAACTATGTACAGTTAGTACTGTAACTTAAGAGTGGATTCACAGGGACAAAAACCAAAATGAGTAGCAATACCTGTTTTAATACAGTCATAACAGAGACTTGTCCTAACATTAAACCTTAATATATTCCTTTATAGATATTGGTTTTTCTTTATGCCACTGCAATTCAATTTGGCATTTTTCTGTATATTCTGTATTCATACAGCATTTGTTTTAAGTTTTTGTCTATATTTTCAGCCTTGTGTTTTAGATTTGAGATGATATAAAGGCCTACATACTTGCCAGTGACAGATATTTCAGATATAATAAACTGTACAGGTGTAGTACTATTCAATGTGACCCTGATGGCTCCACCAACTGGTGTATTACTGTAAATAAAATGTAATAATGACAAAGAATTGAAAGGAGTTTGGAGGGCAAACAATACAATAATATGCTAATTATACTAATACATATGTTTACTGGCAGCCTAATTTTCCAGGGTAGTCAACATGATTATAGTTTGTATGAATACAAGCCATATAATTGCATATTGTGAAATAGGACAAAATATTCATCGAAATTCTTAAATATTAAATATATTTATAATAATTATGACAGAGTGATATTTTTGATATAAATAGTCAGTTGGTTTTAGACATTTTAATTTCCCTTTAATATAAACTATACTATATCCCTTTAAGCCTATTCTATACTGTCCACTCCATATACCAGGTCTAGTGAGTAATTTTTATATGTGATCTCTTGGAGACATTCAGTATAGTGTGTGTATGAAAAGGTAGACTATTTTACTCTCCTTTGTAATACAAAGTTTAAGGTATATATTATACCCATTATGTAGTTTAAGTTCACTGTAGCCTTGATTGTCATTGTTACCACTGTCATGATAACTAACAAAGTCTTGATTATTCATTTTTGCGGTTAATCATCAATGGGCATTGAACAGCAAATCGAATTCAAATCCAATGAAAATCGGACATATAAGATGACATCGAGAGTTGATTATTGGCTTTTCATGTTAATAAATGTTTAATTAATAGTCTATATAACATAGGCAGATTTACCTCTTGTATAATGCATGTTTAAAATATTTCACTTTAAATACATATACATATTCATTGCATTTACATTTTATCATAGTTTACCATCATTTAAAGGTATTTTTCATGGTTACTAATTGGCGGGGGTACTTAAGTGTATTAAACCCCTCGGTCGCCTTGTTGAATTACAAAGTATTTACTACATTACAGCTAGTAGTGTTTGATTAGATATAACATCTGACTGTTTGTGTTGTATTAATATTAACACAATCCAGTAATTAAATCCACTAATGGGGTACTTTTTTCATACTAAACATGTTGCATGGCTTGTCCGTTTGCATTCTTTATAATGCGACAATAACATAATGTCAAATAATGTTAGGTTGGTTTCTTATAATATTGATGTATATAGGCAATACTGTTAATGCAACATACCTTGGCATGCATGTGTTTGAAGAAACAGTACATTCTCCCAAGTTTTCCCATTCTTTTTCATCCTCACTTATCTCCCATTTTATTTGACCCTCATTCTTTGTCACACTCACTTTCTGAATCTAAAACATATAGTAGAATGAAATAACTGGTGGATGCGATAATAAAATACACCCCAGTGGCAGTTTAATTGTCAAGTCTATCAAGTGGGTAGTCAAATGATGGAAGATTGTATGCACTGCACAAATTGCTTATTTAATAAATGCTCCTTAGCACCCATTCCACACACCCATTGATTAACTAACACACCATTAAAGGGGCTAAATCGCTAATATTTGGGACCTAGAAATTAACACAAATAGGTCGCATATAATAATGTAATCTGAATGTATATAAACTGATTTACATTCAGTCGTTTCTGGCAATTTCTAGCATCTGGTTATTCCAGTCTACACCGATAGTATTTATTGCGCATGCTCTCCAGATAAGACTATGGCGTCACCATTTGACATGACTTGTCAATTATTTAGATTATATTCTGCCTGAATCAATGCCATTTTTACCTGTGACATGAGTACTTTGGGTTGTTGGCCTTAAATTGAAACAGAAATAAAACTTCTGATGTTTAAAATGATACTTGACATCACAATATCAACTGCAGGAAACTGTTGTTTCTGCATACTGTAGCGAACGAGTGGATAAATAAACATATTGAAACCAATCATTACCTGATAAATATCATACAACCTAATTATAAACTCTACAGACATAGTGTTATTTGACATCCATTGTAAAGATCGATTTCCATCATGTACAATATCATTAATAGTATAGAAACCATCACCATCTAATCTTTTTACTTCAGTAGAATTATCTGTACAATTATCTGCACTGCTTCTATTTGGGTGACTTGAAGGGCATCTACATTCTTCACCTAGACGTGACATATTCCTTAAAGATTCTATTTCTCTACAAAATATAGAAAATAATTTGGAGACCCCTTTAATATTGAGGCCCCTGGCTGCAACCCAGTCAGACATCTAATCCGGCTCTGATATCTGGATCATATGTAGAGAACTACTAATATCTTTGTACACACATCATCCTATTATAGTAGCTATTTGTTGATTGGAACATTTGTGGTCTTGAAAATAACTTGGTCAAATAATGTTTATGTCTTCAGGTAAACATAGAAAGTATAATAATTGTTTTGAAAGACATAACCTGTCACAAGAAATCTTATTTAAACAAAGATTCTGTTGGGGTTTTTTTGTAGTTTATGTCAGATAAATTCACAAGTTAATTCTCTGTTACACCTATATTCATTAACCACTGATAGACAAAACAACAAGTGGTTGCCATGCAAGATACACCTACATTTTGCAAGGGATGAACAAGCTAAAAACATGATTTTTGGTACAATCAGGGGCCATAATCCTGGATGTTATTGGCCGATATGCATCTGCATTGAGAGAAACAGAGATCTTTAGAATATTAACATATACATTTTTAGTTTCATGAAAATCGGAAAACATTGTGACCTCTAGGGAGTCACAACCTTGGTGTTACATGCTTATCATGCTATTTGCGTAAAGGGGAGCACCCATTATGATCTAGCAAGTTGTGATCCGATATGCGCTTATATCAAAAGGAACCGAGATCCTTGGGATATAAACATATATTTTAAGTTTCATTAAAATCAGATAAAAGTTGTGATCTCTAGAGAGTCAACGTTCATCGGGATTTTCCGGCATGGTTCCCCATTGTCAGTGATGCAGGAAGGAGAGTCTGACAAGGGGTCCTGTGTATATATTGGCATGCACGTAAAAGATCCCTTGACAGTTGGAATTTAATATAAGAGTAGGCGAATATCGACAGGAACCAAGATCTTTTGGTTATAAACATGTATTTCAAGTTTCATCAAAATCGGATCAAAACTGTGGCCTCTATAGGGTCCACAACCTTGATACACCATATATTTACACTATTTGCGTACATGGGGCAGCCATTTTGTCCGGCAGTTTTGGTCTGATTTTCACGAAATTCGAACTCAATCATCATTACGGTATAAAGGTGATATATTCAAATGGTCTTTTTTTTTAGAGGGACCACAAGCTAAAAATGCGATTTTTCGTACAATCAGGGGCCATAATTCAGGAAGTTAGATCCAATATGCGCAAATATCAATAGGAACCAAGAAGTTTGAGTTATATAAACATGCATTTCAAGTTTCATCAAAATCACATGAAAATTGTGACCTCTAGAGTTCCCACAAGCTAAAAACATACAATAAGGGTCTGATACCAGCCAATATCAAAAGGAGGCGAGAACTTTCAGATATAAACATATATTTCAAGTTTCGTTCAAAATCGGACAAAAATTGTGACCTGAAGAGTGTCCACAAACAAAATGTGAACGGCCGGGCGGACATGGGGCGACAACAAGTCAACAATATACATCCACATGAAAATATGGGAGTATAAAAATGGTCAACTTACTTATCAGTTAAATAATCCTCATAGATACTGATGTCAGACAAAGTTAACTCATCATTTCCCTGCACATCTACAATAGAAATACAACACATTCAAAACCTACAAAGCTAAATCTTCAATTATTATTGGTAATTTGTTAGATTAGCAGTGCAATATGTATAAATATAGATCCATGACTCAAAGCTCATCCGCATCATTTAGTTCATGTTCTAATCTCATCAGTTTGATGCAGCTGACACGCTTTGCTTCGTGTTAAAAATTGAACATCTTCATATAGCAAAGGAATGGAGTGATAAAAATAGACAAGCTATGGAAAGCTTTTTTAGGAGTGAGATTTTCTGTAATTTTTAATATTGAAGGGATTATGTTTTAGCTCTCCTGATTGTCTGCGATATCACTTCGTTGGAAGCGTACATTAAGTAAAGCTATTTCACACACAAGCTCTCCTCACTTTCATTTGTTTCAATTAGGTCTGATATTGGTTCATTAAATTGAACTCTTCCATTTGTTGTGCCCTTTTACATATACTTCATACTGCATATGAGGAAGTAAATAATATACATCCTGTGAGTTTAGGCTTTATTCAGTTCTAATACAGATATTATACAGTGATAATATTTGTATATTGTCATTCAAAAAACTATTTAAAAAACCCATACTCTTCAAAATCATTATTCTAAAAAGCACCGAAATCAACTCAAATTAATTGAATTTGTTAGTCCAATTTTAATGAATTTGTTTATCAACAATTATTCATACATTTATTTATCAACAATTATTCATACATTTGATCAAGTTACACATTTCCTACGTGTTAGTGTTTGTTTCAATGATTTTCAGTGGTTACATTAATATTTGTGTTTACTTACATGGTTCAACATTGACAGATTTTACTGTTGTAGATATTGTTCTTACAAAGTTTCTGCCAACAAATATATCACTTCTATCACGCATAACCTATCAAATAAATCAAAACAAGTATATCAATTATACGCTTTTAAAAATAACGTCTTGGAAATGTTTGAATTTGCATATTTCTTGGTACACACTCAATGAACCATCAACTCAAGCATATGAATTTAGTGCAATAGCCGGACAAGTGTACAATACAATGCCGGCCACCGTAAGTTGTGAGCAAACCGACTAGAGAAATCGGGGGTAGGGGGTCATGGGGCAATTTTCTTTTTCTTTTTTTGAGAATTTTAGTGCTCTGAAGCTGCTTCTGGTGCCCCTACTCATTTCAAAACTGAAAATTCTTAAGTATTGATTGCCATGGGATTGAAAACAGCTACAAAAATAGTTCAGAACTGTATAAATTAACTAGTCACACAGCAGCTTATCCAAAGGAAAACTTGGAGGTTGACCCCAAAAAAGTTAGGGTTTGTCCTTTTACATCACCCCAATGTTTCACACCCAAAAAATTGCTAAAATTCAATTTATTGCCTTCTGCAATATTCATCTGCACATTACCAAAATAACGGTATAAATCTGGTCATTCTATCAACAACAGCAATAAAGACCTTCATATTAAAATCATACGTGGGATATGTTTAACCAATTAACATGTATAATCTGTGAATTATCCTTTAGTATTCATTGCGGGAGCTGCTATGGCTAAGTGATTGCAGATAAAATTCTTCCCGATTTTCCGGCACAGTTTACCCTTGTCAGTGGTGCAGGACGGAGAGTCTGGCAAAGACAGTGTTTAGTCATTTCAAATGGGATGAAAAACCGAGGTTCTGTTTACACACTGGCTTGCACATAACAGAAACATTGACAGTTGGAATTTGACATAAAAGTAGGCCATAGTGCCACTGTCCAGTCAAAATTTTTCCTCATAGCACACAGCATGGAGTATGCTCGTCTTTATTAGCCCAGTTGGTGCAGAATAGTAGAATATTAGACCCCATTTCATTAATAGTGTTCAAGCGAGCTGTTACAACTTTGGATTCTGGGGTAACAATATAATAAGCATCAGGGTAATAAATTCTGATCTATACATTCTCATTTATTTCTCATACAAAATATTTAGTAAGTATTTCTATGAATTAAATAAATAATTAGGTCCTACAAATTATACTTTGTCTTACAGGCAGAATCATTTCTGTAACTTACTCTAAAAGCCATGAAATTCCATTCACTTGAAGAAAAGCCACTATAACTCATCCCACGGACCATTAAATTAGTTTGTTCTAAAGAGATTCTGTACGTCATGTTCATGTCTCCACTTAATACAAACAAAGTACTGTAATGAGAAAAAAGATGCTATTAGAGATTTATAAGAAACAAATTTGTAAACTTTTCTATTTCAAAAGGGAAGGCAATACATTTGCTTAGACAAACTTCATCTGAACCCATCTCAGGTGCTAGAAGCCAGCACACTCCCCTGCAGGCATAACTAGTACATAACTTCTGCCACTGCACACAACGCAAGAAATTAAGATTATAGGTCATTTGTGTAGCTTTAACCATAAAATGAAATATATTGTTACTTATACTTGCCAATTCGTGCAGTTTCCCTGTATCCAGAAACTGACAGTAACCGTTGAATTCACATCTATTTTTTGAGAACAGTTCATGCTTGGTAATAATTCTAATGTTTTATCTGTTGAAATATTTGGTGGATGTTTGATTGGATTGGATTTAACACAGTCTTTGAAATCAGAACTAGATGGTGAAATAACGCGTAATATTGGGAAGTTGAAACGCCCAGATTGACATTTCGGTCCACATATTGTCACATTACTTTCACACATGGTCGTATTACATGTGTCCACTTGACCACAGTCTTTTTGGCTTTCAGATATTGTAACCTCTCTTATAATGTCTGTATATGTTTGTGCCGATACTTGGCAAAAAGCAAATAATAGAATGGCAAATGTTGGGGACTTTAGCATTTTGTTTGGTGAACACATGTCTTTCATACAGGACAATATATTAACAGTTAACTCATCATAAACACCTGGAAATAAAGAAAATAAATTTTAATACCTTTTGTTTTTCATTGAATTGTAAGTATTTAAAATCTGAATACTACCAGGAAACTTTGATCTTTGTTTATCTAAAAGCTATTGTTCAAAATCTGCAAATGTTAGAAAATATATTCTAGTGATGAAACATTTGCTAATCAATTAATTGAAAATCCATTATGTATTTTGGCTTCAAGTTTTGTATAAACTATTATTCAGACAGACCTGAAAATATAGTCCGCATAATGTTTTTGATAGATTATATATCTTCAATATGTGTAGATTCACAATCCGGAAGATGGCATCCTGGCACCCTGATTTAAAATTTCAAGATGGCCACCATGAGGCATTTTCTGGTTAATTAGTTTGATAAAATTCGTGATAAATTCTCAGGGACTTCGATTTAAAGGTGGTTTCTATAAGATTTTGACTAGCTGAATCCATGGGTGCTTATTTTGGCGGGAAAATCATAAACTTCCGTATAGGTGTACATTGTAGAATATATTGAAACATAGGTTTTCTTGGTCACTATTTTCATATATACCGGTAATCATAGAAATATGTTCCAGCCACAAAATACCTTAATATGATCGCTATATTATTGAAAATGGCGTCCACACTGGCGGGAAATTTCGATGTTAGTAATGTGATGGTGCAATACGTCAATTTATGGGGGTTTGTGGTAGCCGAATTCATGTCTATGCTATGACCGAACGAAACGCTAATTCGACATATTCCTAATAGCTAAGTTTACGGGAACATGGAAGAACACAGTAAAGCAAAAACTCCTGTAGCAGAACATGACAGAATGTGCGTTAGAAGAACACATTCCTCACAGCGAAACATAACCAACCATCTGAGCAGAGTGAGTTGAAATCAAGTGTTTCTAAACTGGTGCACACATGTTTGTCTCTTACATCCTCACTTGAATCACAAGAATACTGGCAATAATAGAGCCGTCTGGTTCTTTAGAAACTCAGGAAACTGTGGTCGTTGTACTCACAACGCCGTGTATAATATGCATCATTTCATGTCCGCAGTCAAATTGCACTTTTCATATATTTTGACTTCACCGTTGAGTCTTAGATAGCTTTTTAGAGCAACCAGATAAGCCAGAAACAGAATCCGCCTCAGAATAAATGTGTAGCTGCACTATTTTCTTTCATGGTCTCTTAAACTTAGCTATTATGTCGAATTAAGAGAACCCTATTGGCTTTTCGCTCGGTCATATAGAGCACATTTTGCTGTTTAGATATAAATTCGAAAACCCCGAAAATCTATAGTCTAACGTATTAGGCTGCGCCATCATATTTCCCGCCAAATGTGACCGCCAGTTTTAATATAGCGGTCGGTTTATATCTGAATTAAAGTGACCCCGAAAACCTGTATTTCGATACATTACACACCTACACACGTGACTCTGATTTACCCGCCAAAATGAGCCCCCATTTTGAATTTAAGCCCCCAATTTGAATTTGGGCCCCCTATCGGAATTAGCTGTCCCTTTTGGAAGGGATGTCCAAGCTCACTGGATTCAGCGGGTCGAATTCTTATAGAATCCACATTCCTATCGAGGTCCCCGAGAATTTGTCACAATTACACCAAACTAAGTAACCAGAAAATGTCTCATGGTGGCCATATTGCATATTTAAATTTCCCCAAGACTATCAGGATGTGCACTAGGTTAATTAGAACTAGCCAAATCAATTTAATGACACCATCTTGAATACAAATATATATTTGCTGGTCATTATAGCAAACGAAATGAATGGTTCAAGTGTTAAGTAAAGCAGTTTTGAAATACCACATTAATATTTATCCAAACTTAACCCTTTTTGGAAATAATAAATAGCATATATCTATATCTTATTTGCAGGGGCGGATACGGGAATTTTGAAGGGAGGGGGGTTGCAAAGGTATATTATCTGCCCCTATTATACGGCTTCGTGTCAATATCTTTGACCTGCACAGACTCTTTCAATCTGCACTCAGACTCGTCCAATCTGCATGTCTTCTTAATTTTCATTCAATTGAACTGACTATATAGACCTATTTTATCTAAGATACCATTTCTAACATATTTATTCTTGTCTTTTGGCGTTCTAAATATTTATAGTTCTGAATTGTTGATATTACATCGCTTTGTCAAAATCATTTAATTAGCTTCGTTAACCACCTTTTATCTTAACTGTATTTTCAAACAATCAATGGTTTCGCCCTCCTTCCCTAGGTTTTCTTCCATTAATAAATCGATTAGCTTCCAATATTATTTTGGAATTTTGGTCCGTATTTCGTTATGTTTTTTTTTAAATGCATGTTATTTCTGCTAAATATTACTTAGCATTTATGAGTTATGGAGACATCATATCATATTTTAACCGTTCTCAATCATTCTTCTGCTCTCTTCCTTTCTTTAAAACAACTAATTGATCACAGAGCTTTATGGAGCGGAATTAAAGGCATGATTTTAACCGCTCAACTAGTAATGATACAATCACTTCAATGCAAGTAACTTCTTACTTTCATGCAGTAAATTGAAATCAGTGTCTTTTAAATGTCTATTTTATCAGCATTATTTATATTTATTTACTTGAGTTTATTATAATGAGTTCCTGGTATAGTGCTGGCAACTTTCTCTTGTAGAAAAGGACCAATGCAATACGTGCATAGCATGACGTTACAACAACAATCACGCGATCGTATTGATAAGTATATCTGTGCGTATCTATACGTTTCAGGGCGACTCTCGTAACGGTATGAGTTTTCACCCCGACTACCGCCGATAACAACCGAGAAGCTATTTATCACCACCGACGACATGATAATAACAATCTTGATTAAAAAAATGATATATTTTAAATATAATTAAAATAGCAGAAATACATTAAAGGACAATATTGGTGCCAGTCATTATCACATATTATGTGATAGAGCTGGTTAAACACATTCATACCTCTATATAACTGACTGATGTGACGAGTGATAACAGATACACGGCCGAATTTCTGCACACTTATAATTCCTTCCAAGACCAAAAGTTGTTGTGTAAGACTGTGTAAAAAGAATTGACTGCCACTAGATAAGAGGTATGACTCGTGTTTTCCTTTGGCGTTCGTCACTTCCGATTCAGGAAACCTGTATTACTCAGCTATCGTAGCAATGATGTCTGTGTTAAAATTATATTTGGAACGTGTTTAATTAGTTCTATCACATAACATGTGATAATGACTGACACCAATATTGTCCTTTAACAATACATAAAACGCTTATGCCACGTAGCATAATAATGTGCCATCTTGCAAAAAGTATACTTAAGAAAAAATATGTTCTGTATGGGCCAAAGGAATGATAGAGTTACCATGTGAATTTAGTTCAATATTATTTGACAAAATCTGTCATTTGGTTATTGTACGGTGCTATATATACCTGTAATTAGATTATTATACGGAATGTTAAATTCCATTTTTTAATTATCTGCTGATATATGTTTACCTGTACTGTATTGTACTTTCTATTTTTGTGGTACAATGAATTATTTTATACTTTATTGTTTATGTATTTAGGCTATTAAACATATTAAATTTTGTTCTTATTTTGTTGTCCGTTTGTTAAAAAGCTTGTCAGCTGGTGTCTGTGGTGAAAAGTCACACCCCTCTCGTAAAGCCGGACAAAAGACATTAGAATTACGTTACTTAATTTCATATGTAGAACCCGAGTACAGAACTATTTTGTTCCATGTAATTTTTATAAGTATTGTCATGCTTATATAATTTTCTTGTGGCTCACTCTCGGTTATTTTAACATAAGCAAATAATTTTGATGCAAAACATTTTCTTTTAATTTAGGTCTTGACAGCTATTTTTAAGGGGTTTGAATGACTAACCAACAACGTCATGTGATATAACATAAAGAAGTTTATGTACGTATAATTATATACTTCCTGAATAAATATAGTTTGTATAGACCACGCATGCACTTTTCATATATATGTATATATGAACCGTAATCTAATCTATGTATAGAGATATATTATTATTATTGAATTCCATGAATAGTCCACGGTAGATGAGTTTTATCACACAAGATAAAAACAAGTTCATTTACTTTAATATACCAATATAAGTAAATGCACAAGCTAAAGGTAGACGGTTCCCCGAATAAATATATAACACTTATTAACTAATTGCAAATTTGCCATTATATAAAGCACCGAGCCATAAAGTGGTTTACCACTCTACTTTTCGTCAGTAGAAAGTACTAATTATTATCAAACTCGGTCATAGTATTGATGCAATGAAACCATTTACCAAGTTTCATCTCTCTATAAGAACCAGAGTTACCTCAAGGTGAACATCCGCACTCTTTTGAAAATTCTACCTGAATTAGGAGCAGGATTATATTGTGCCCCACAAATATAATGGACGGACGAACTGACAGACCCATTTTATTTGTCCACTGTGTTCTTCGGAAGGCGGGGACGGGGGAACAAAAGTGGCACTAATGATTAATAGGAAATTTGGGTTAAATAGAATACAAATTCCTGTTAACAAACTATTGTCAAAAACGTTTTAACGTTGGTTGTTAAATTTCTTGTATTCTATGACATACATATGAGCGAGAAGGTATTGTCATTTAAGAGAATTTATAAAATATGTAAAACACTTGGAAACTTACCAATATTATAGCCCTGATTTTCAAGAAGACTTTCTTCCACAATGGACACCTCAACATACTTTGAATATAACACATACCCTTCTTACTTTTAGTATATTACTTCCCTGTCTATATATTAATGGTGTCATTTCAATGAATTAGAGATGCATTCTATAACGGCGTATACCCTTTGTTCGTGTTTTCTACCTGCTTGACAACATTATACAATCTAAATATAGAACTATGTCGTTTCTAGCCATTTAATCTTCCGTTTTATGGGTATCACGAAAATGCATATGAATTTTATTATATATTAAAATTCGCAGGTTTTAAATCGTAA